GGTTGGGTAAAGATCTATCTTGTTCCATTCTGAGATATGAGCTTTTGGTTGTGTCACAAGGCAGGGCCTTCCTTCTCTGGGCGAGTGCCCGAAATTGCCCTCCAGCAAGAAACTTTATTGATATCGTACTGCCTCATCCATCAGGCATATTTATATATGTTTAGTGGCCATTTTTAGAAATGCAATGAGATCTGTTCCTTATATTGTAGTCCCTCTGCTGGTGTATTGTTATATAGGTGTGCTTTGCTAATGCTTGATTGACATGTCTTTACATTGTAGTTACTAGTCTGAGGTTTAAATAAAAAAATATGAAGGTAAACTACAAGTGAAAAGTTACATTGAACCCCTATTTGAAAATATTCAAAATGAATGCATACAGAAGAAAAGTGAACATGAGCCCATTTCCACTAGGTGGTTGAGTAGTTTTTGTTGTAAATATAAATGATGGAACTCAGATGGGAACATGTATAGCCAACTAAATTTCTGCCTTTCTCTCTCTCGATATTCATGGAACATTTTGGAATAACTACAGCTTGGTTTCATGTTGATTATGAACAATTATTTCTTAAGCCATTTTAACAAAAAAGATACCATGTGAGAGTTGATCACTATAAATGCAATTCACTCAAAAAGTGACCCACATTCCTTAAGAAGAATTAAATCAAAAGGGTAAGAATTAGAGTAAGTTACTTGAAGAATAACCAAGGGATTTTATTTAAAATCATTAGTCCAGTAGTACGGAAAGAAAGGGAGAGGGGAGGAAGTGGTACTGTACTCTGTAATTAAAGTATAAGCAAAGAAAAAGCATCTCCTCCTTCCCCCACAACATTTGGTGGAATTTAACTTGTAAAGAAATGAAAGAAACTGGAATAAATAATGATTTATTGATGTGATGGCTGTAACTGGAGCTTCTGAGACAGGACAACTACAGGTAGTCCTCAACTTATGACCATAATTCAGCCGAAAAATTGTGTTGCTAAGCGAGATATTTGTTAAGTGAGTCTTGCCCCATTTTACGACCTTTCTTGCCACCGTTGTTAAGCGAATCACTGCAGTTGATAAGTTAGTAACCCGGTTGTTGAGTGAATCTGGCTTCCCCATTGACTTTGCTTGTCAGAAGGTCGCAAAAGGGGATCACATGACCCTGGGACACACAACGGTCATACATATGAACCAGTTGCCAAGCTTCTGAATTTTAATCACATGATCATGGGGATGCTGCCAAGGTCGTAACTGTGAAAAACAATCATAAGTCACTTTTTTCAGTGCTGGTGCAACTTTGGTCACTAAATGAATTGTTGTAAGTCGAGGACTACCTGTACTGCTATTAGAGCTCCTTTCTGCTTCTTAATTTCTTTATGATAGCCATCAAAGGTTAGGTTTACCAAATTTACCATTCATTTTTGAAATATTATTCAGTTGTATCATAACTGGCACTATGGTTCAGCCCAGAGAGATGATTTCATCTATACTTTGGTGGTTACCTAGCTTTTTAATTTTCACTTATGTATAGAGGAACAGTAAGTTTGTTGTAGTATGTTTGGAGAGAAGCCATACTTGTCTTATGCTTGTTACCGTATTAACATAAATAACATTTATTTCTCTGATGCTACCTCATTAATTTATTTATATGTCATCTTTATGATTCACTGCTCCCAGTGTGTTGGCCATTAATTATTATAAATAAAAATTCTAATTGATGAAATCCAACTATAGTAAGAAAACTAAAACTTCAAAGTACAATATAAATTCTATAAACGAGAGCAGTGACCCTATATATTGCATTATATGATTTCTCAATTGAAAACAAATATTAGGAAAGGGAGGCTTGAGTGTAGAAATGAGAGGGAGGACTTCGTACATATGCATCCCACAGAAAGCTCTTGCCTAGGGGTCTTCAAACTTGGCCCTTTTATGACTTGTGGACTTCAACTCCTAGAATTCCTCAGCCAGGCATGCTGGCTGAGGAATTCTGGGAGTTGAAGTCCACAAGTCATAAAAGGGCCAAGTTTGAAGACCCCTGCTCTTGCCCTAGTCAGTTCCAACAGGTTATCTTTCCAGGTCAGCACTTGCAAAAAATCTTTGGAGCTCCAGGTTTGTAACATATGTAAGAAGCTGCTGCTTCAAACAGATAGGCTAATATCCCCAAGCTATTTAAGGATTCATGTTGGGCTTCAGCTGGCAGAAAGGAACCCAAAAGGCAAGTTTAACAGAAGTCATGAACTGTTGATAAGTAGTATTGAAAACTATGCAAATGCAGCAATAGGAAAGTGGAGCCTAGCATGTAGGAAGGTGGAGCCTAGCATGATGGAAAGAATACAATGCTGAAGTTGACAAACATCTGGGAGATTCAATCCGCTCCATCAGCAGATTAGGACCTAAATTTGATAGGTTCTTCTTGACGGCCATAAAGACAAAGCCAGGATCAGTAGTACTCATTACAATATGTTCATGGTTTGATATGCCTTGTTAATTTTTTCCCTCTTTCTCTATTCAACTCAAAAGAAGCACAGCAGCAGAAAATTCAATCCATTTTATATTCAACAAGAATGTATACACCGTGTTTCCTAATCTAAAGATTTTAAAAATAAGGACATCACAGAAATATATAATAAAGAATTTCATCAAATTACTTGACAACCTTTGTTTTTTCCTTTTTTCAAGGAATCATTTCAAAAACTGAAAAGGAACATTTGTTAACTATCCTCTGTTCAAAGTTCTGTAATTATTCTCACACTGAAGCTCTCCATACTTGGTATGCAGTCTAGGAAAACTGTCATATCTTGTCACTGTATTGCAGTATTTTTACCAGGAGTCAATGTTCAAAATGAAAAGCATCACATTACATAGACTATGGCATCTAGAAATGAATTTGTTTTGACAGCATCTTCTCTTAGTAAGAGTTTGTTGTCACAGGATAGGAGTTACCACACATAGACAATAATCTAGAGCTAGTATATACATTATTTTAGTCAGAAAGGCTGGCAATTATACGCTAAGTATTGGAAAGAAAAAGAGATGGTGACTGTTGAAGAATGAACTTTAAAATTTACTCAACTGGCAGAGATAGTGAAATTAACAGCATTGATTAGAGCAGATATCCCCAGCCTGTGAGCCGCAGCCCACTACCGGGCAGTGACCTATTCCCAACCAGGCCACGTGAGTGGTGGGTTGGTGCGCATATGCACGCAGCCCCACTCACGGGAATGGTGGACACCCACCAACCTGCCATTCTCACAAATGAAACTATGCGCGTGCGCATTTGCCCCTCGCTCAAAACCATCCCCTTTCCCCCCCCCCCCGTGCCGGGTTGCCAACCCAGAAAAATTGGGGAACACAGGATTAGAGACAGTGGATTAGAAAATGTATAAGAGTTTGGAAGCTGTTTGTGGAGTTTCTGCTTGTTAAATACAATAATCAGTGGTTAAACAGAGGGCTTCAAAGATTAGTTTTATTCTTGGGGTTACCTGTTGACTGTTTTCTTTTTTTATATATAGTGAACAGATGATGGGTCGACGGATTGTTAAATAAATAGCTTTCCAAATAGGTGACTTTTTTTATGAAACAGTATTTTTATTAAATATAAATGGGAAAGTTTCTAATTACTTGCAGACCTGTTATATAAGGGGGGAGAATGTACCAGATACATCAGATATATTTTTCAGCATTCAACCAGGGTGGACAATTTATATTTAACCTTAGTGCTAATAAATATATTTGTCATTTGTTATATTTTGTACACGTGGTTTTTATTTTTATTGTCAGCATTTGATGTTCGTTTGTTTATTTTTTTCCTCTTTTTTGTTTTTCCCAATTTTATATTTTAACTTTGGACATAGATAGATAGATAGATAGATAGATAGATAGATAGATAGATAGATAGATAGATAGATAGATAGATAGATAGATAGATAGATAGATAGATAAAGACTGACCGTTGAGTGGCAAAGGTCCTATTTCTTTCTTTCCTTGGAAATACTGTGAAGCAGAATATATTCTGGAAATCAGAAGCTCACTGACTGGCCTGCTGCAATGTGCTTTACATAACACAGAAAATACAATTGTTTCAAATGGCAGAAGCCCACATGCTAATATGTCAGGACCACTTCAACCTTGTGACCCTTACTCTGGCCACTGCATTACCTCCCAGGGATTTCTTAGTTCTCTGGTTTGTCCAGGACACTTCCTCAGGGTAGAATTAACCCATCCTGTGTGCACATTTTTGTTAGAGATGCTTGGTATATGAGAAATGAGAACTGTGGGAACCTTTAGACCGGGAGTGTCAAACTGCCGGCCCGCGGGCCGGTTGCATCATGCGGAGGCCACACCCACCCCAGCTCCAGCAATGCGAGAAAAGTCATGATACGTCACGACACGCCATGTGACATGGCAAGTTTGACACCCGTGCTTTAGACAATATTTTTCCATTGCTTTTTGGGCTGCCAAGATAGGACTATTCCACCGGGCTTTTGAAGTAAAGTACTGTATTGCCATGATTGATTATACTGGTGCATGTGGTTTTACTGGCGCATGTGATTTTATTTCATTGCTTTTATTGATTGGCAATTGTAATAATATATCTGTTTTATAGTTATGCATATTATAAATCATTACAATTTGCCCCAAATTTGGTAGTATAAATGTGGAAGGAAGGAAGGAAGGTTCAATGGCTTCAAACCTCATTAGAAGTGTTTGAAAGGACCAATAATATCAGAATAGAAAGTTGTAGCTCTATTTTGAAAGTTCCTGGAGAAAATCTATGTGATCACTAAGACTGAATACCATCAATCCATTTTAAAAGTAATGTTTAGGTCAGCCCCTTAGTTTCTTTTTAACTTATTTAAGCCTGGGAACATTTTAACAATTGCACTGTGATTTTTTGTGCTGAGATTGTAAGTTGAATTTTGGCCTTCAACCTAATGGAGTAGTTCTTTCTCTGGTCTGCAATTTTTAGACCTTGTCAACTTAATTTCATTATTTCTTCTCTGGATTCTGCAGAGGTGGTCATTTCAGTCTTTGAAAAGATGCAAGCACAAGAGATTCTAAGGAATTTACGCCTTCCAGAATTTGAAGACTTCAGCCAGTTTTTCCGAAGCCTACCAGCTTCTACTTTGGTGGGAATTGGTGCCTTTGCAGCTATCATTGCATATTGGCTTGTCAACCGTCCCAAAGCGGTAAAACCACCATGTGATCTTTTAATGCAATCAGAAGAAATTGAGGTGAGGATTATCTTGATAGAATTTTATGGCATGCCTTTCTCAGCAGTGTTTTTATTAGCAGTTGCTGTTCCTTTTATTAAATTGATCTTTTGACAAAATCCATAAGTAGATTTGTAAATATTCTAGCCTGTCCATTTAATAATTAGTACAATGGCTGACCCAGAGAGGCTTTTCTGGACCTTAGTTGTGAGAGACATGCTATTCTACAAAATGTGAATTTATATTTAGGTACATGAAAAGAGTCTGCAAGTGATGCATAGTATGCATTTTATAGGATGTATTCTTTGTGTGATGATGTATTAGTCTTTTTAATAGATGACTTGATTCTTAGTAAATATTGTCTTAGCCAAGATTTTCAAGAGGAAAAACTTGAGGTTAGCTCTGTGGAAGTGTATGAATTAAGGCAGAATGGTTATGTCCTTTATTATTTGCTTATTAAAAGAAATCATATTAGTGAATATGGTAAGCCAAATAATACTTCAGCATTTAATTAGTTTGGTGTTGATTAATAAACAGGTTAATTATGGCAGAATGTGCTAAAGTGAAATCTGATTCAGGAAAAGAATATCTTAAAGATATTCTTTGAAAAATGATATTTTACTGGGTACGTTTCCTGAATAACATGGATGATGTAATCAATTCTCTTAAGGGTTTTTTTGTTTGTTTATTTGTTTGAAATATGCTGTGTAATCCTTGGAGATATATTTGTAAAAGCACAGACAAAACAAACTAATTAAGCTATTGAGATTTCTTTTATAGTATCTGTGAATCTTCATTATTGCCTTATTTAAAATGTATTTCATTTCCTATGGAAATGATACACATACATTATTTGATTGTGCTTGGGACGGTTAACATGGTTATTCAAAAATGTTATTTTGAGATGTTCCAAGCCCATGTTTGAGCATGACATCTTAGATGTTTGAAGTAATTGTGGTTTGTGGTTTGTGGAGCTATTGCTGAATTAATTGAGTTGTTTAATCCAGGATATATCTGGCATTTTTCTTGAGGAAAAACATTAAGCATTCAGTAAGCTGGAGATGGTTCAACTAGAAAGGACAATTCAGCAAAAAAGAACCAAGATTTAAAACAATAACAACAACCAATTTAATACTATACCATTTTTCATCTCAGCAATCAAATTAATATTTATTGCTTTCTACTTTTCCTCCAGGAATTCATGGCAGCTTAACTTAAATTCCTGGAGCTTATTATATCTCCCCTCATTTTATTCCTACACTGAGAGATTGGCTGGGCTGAGAGTAACTGGCTACATTCACCTAGAGAGCTTTGTGTTTGAGTGGCAGTTTGAACCCAGGTTTTTCTGTCCTCAGTTCTTAACTATGGCATTGCACTATAGAACATATATTTTTATATTTTAATTATAAATTATGAAGGCATCTTCTTTATTTAGTACCACTAGTAGTGACGTGCAAAATATTTCAAATTTGAATGGTTTAAATTTGAAATGACCCAAATTCAGTGATTTTGAAGGAATTATTTTGAGTTCTAAACTGTTCATTTGCATTCAAGATGGCCTTCTGGTAGTGTTTTAAGATTGACATTGTTTTCAACACAAATCAACTGATTCAAATTCAAAAAAGGCATTTCCAGTTTGAAAAGCTTCACATTTTGTACACTCTTTAACAGTCATATAAATTGATTGGCCTTTTTGAAAAAAAAAATGCTGGACCATAGAGGTTTTGTCTAGAACAAGGGTGTCAAACTGTCAGCCCGCAGGCCAGATGCATCACGACGAAACCGCGCCCACCCCATTGCCGGCAATGGGGAAAAAGCTCCAATACATCGTGCGATGTCACGTGACATGACTGAAATTCTTTTGCATTCCTTATTATTATTATTTTTGCATGTTCAATATTTGCAACCATATTCTATTTATTAAGTCATATTTGAATTTAAGTTTCTTAATAGTATTTGAATTCCACCTTATGAAAATATGAGTTGTTCTGGAGATACCCTTCAGTTATTGATTGATTGAGGAATTCCTTGGCTGAATAGTTCCTTTTCTGTGACTGTCCATCCCACAATGCTTATTCTTTAAGCCCAGGGTGTAGACATGGAGTGTTCCAAGGATGGATTATTTTGAGAGAAAGAATCTTTTGGGCATCAAAACGGAGATTGGTCTATGCTTCAACCTGGTTACTTTTTCCCCTCCTGAGCTACATAATCTCTGTATGTAAAACTGAATATTTAAACAGAATAGTTTTTTAAAACTTAGTTATTTATTCTATTATTATGGATAAATGTAATGGCTTCCATATTTTATAAATTAAAGATAAGCCTACAGTGTCAACCAACATTTTGGGGGGACTATTTCCCTGGTGTAGATGTTTGTAAATATGTATATTCCAATTCATACATATGTGCCCACGCAGAGATGGATGGAGAATTCACTTTATCTTTGTACTTTGTGAGCTTGCCTGAGGCACAGTAAGGAAAAATATTTACAGATCTGCTTGACATAAGCATTTTAGCAGTGCGTTCCCAGCAGTTAAAACAAAAGAATTGTGCACATATTCTAATACCAAACCTAATAATTAATAAGATACTATTGATGTGTTTCCTCACTCAAGTTTTACAGAATAATGTACTGTACTGCGAAATACAAAGTGTTGTACTTTGAGTTGCTTGCAACCTACATTTTGACACCAGGAGAGACATTTAAGAGGCAGGGAAGCTCAGAATTACTAATGGTGAATCTGAGCAACCTTGTATGTAGTTTTTAGTTTGTCTGGGGACTGAAAAACGTTAAGCAAAGTTCTGTTATTTCACAATACAATTTTAATGGCTTCTGTAAACTTCCAGAAACTGGAATCAGGATCTAGCTATAGATACAATGCACCTGTATGTACACAGATAGTCCTCGACTTATGACCACAATTGAGCCCAAAATTTATGTTGCTAAGTGAGAAATTTGTTAAAAGGTTTTGCCCTATTTTACGACTATTCTTGCCACATTTGTTAAGTGAATCACTGCAGTTCTTACGTTAGTAACGTGGTTGTTAAGTGAATCTGGCTTCCCCATTGACTTTGCTTGTCATTAAGTTGCAAAAGGGGATCACATGACCTCAGGATAGTGCAACCATTATAAATATGAACCAGTTCTCAGGCATCCGAATGTAAATGCCATGGCCATGGGGATGCTGCAATGGCCGTAAGTCACCTTTTTCAGTGACGTTGTAACTCTGAACGGTCACTAAATGAACTGTTGTAAGTCAAGGACTATCTGTATTGTTTCCCCTTGATAGATTCTTGATCTGCACTTACCTATATTTCATTGTAGGGCTGGAATGGTGCACGGAGATCTGTAATTGGTGACAGGACACATTTGCTAACTCATTACTATGATGATGCAAGGACCATGTATGAAGTTTTTAGAAGGGGTTTTAATATATCTGGTAAGTTTTTGAAAGACATTCTTTGATCATACTGAATTTATTTTAAGCAATAATATTGTTACAGCTCTGTATGAAACTCCAACTTCTACAGAGGACAGATGTAGGTACTTAGATGAAGAAACTGTATTTAAATGAAAATTCATTCTTGGGGGCAGTTAAACTTTGTTGTTGAGTGTTCTTGAACTTACCATAGGGACAGTTACAGGGGCTAATCTTAGTTTAGAAGGGTTAATAGTTACCTTCAATAAACACGAGATTTTACTGCTGTAATAGCATAAATATTGAGTACACATTTTTAATCACAATTAGGAAACAAGTCACTCTTATTTTTTTCAGTCCCCATAAATTGTAGGGTCACAAAAGTTCTCTTGGAATCTTTCATAATTGAGTGGTTATTTTAGCTTATTTACAGAATTTTTGATCTACTGTTGGGGTAATTTATGATCAGATAGAAAGCCCACAATAGAGGGAAATGTTGATTATTTATTCTGGGCTACTATAATACTAAAAATTGATGATTCTGAACAGCTTACGTACCCATCATCTGTAAATCAAATTAATAAATAACAATTACACTTTAACACTTTGTAGGAGGAGAGTTGTGTGACTCCATGGGGTCTGATAGCACGTTTTCCAACTAATTTCATATGTCTGATGAATGAGATGTCACCGACAAAAGCTTGTGCCTTTTAATAAAATTTATTACTAGTAAGAGTCCTTACCACTCCTTCTGACATAAAGCAGCTTCACCATGGCTTTCGTGAATATTGCTTATGTTATAGGACACACCAAACCAATGGGATATTTGGAATGGAAGCCAATTTTGATTAGCTCATTGTAGTATTATAGAGAAAAGATAAATGTTAAGAGAGCATGTGTGCTTCATGTCAGGGTCTTACATCAAAAATAAAATTGTCATTGCTGGAATTATTTAAAAAAATGAAATCCCATTTATGAAGATAACTGTGTTTTGTGTTTTATGATCCCTGATATAAATTCTTGAATGGCTGATACGGCACATTGTCAATAATAGCACTGGTTTATTTTTAAATATGCTAACCTGCTGAGATATACGTAGGCCATCAGGAAATGCATTATTAAGCAGCTTTGAAAATGGCTTATCACACATACTATTCCTGATTTCGGGGTTTTTTTTTCTGTAGAAAATGGTCCCTGCTTAGGATTTAGGAAACCTAATCAGCCTTATCAATGGTTATCCTATAAAGAGGTAAGATTGATATTATTACTTTTTCTCTTAATTGAACAACAGTAAAAATGGAACTGTAATCTGAAATATTTTTTCTACTGCACCCTGATCTGGATAGCTAAGATAATTACCTGGTTAGAGATGATTATACTAACAGAACAGAATATTATAGGGCAGTGCTGGCAGGGCGGTTTTTGGGCACTTGGTCTCTAAAAGGTTTGCCAACATTGTTATAGGGGCTGCTGATGTGCCTTCCCCACTCCCAGGATACCCAAACTCTACTGTATAGAATATGCAATAATCCTCCTCTATTGTTTAGTTTGTAAGAAGCACCTTTTCAAGTGGACTATGCCTGCAATAATGGCAAACAGGTAGTACCGTGTTTCTCTGAAAATAAGACCCAACCAGAAAATAAGTCATAGCATGATTTTTTCAGGATGCTCATTAATATAAGCCCCACTCCAAAAATAAGCCCCAGTTAAGATCGTCAGTCAGATGGATGCATTTAGTACCGTATTTCCTCGAAAATAATACCTAACTGGAAAATAAGACCTAATGCGTCTTTTGGAGCAAAAATTAATATAAGACCTGGTCTTATTTTAGGGAAAACACGGTAGTCCTCGACTTATAACAGTTCATTTAATCAACATTTGAAGTTACAACAGCACTGAAAAAAGGGATTTATAACAGTTTTTCACACAACCATTGCAGCATCCCCATTGTCAGGTAATCAAAATTCAGACGGTTGGCAACTGACTTATATTTATGGCGGCTGCAGTGTCCTGGGGCCATGTGATTGTCTTTTGCGACCGTCTGATAAGCAAAGTTTATGGGGAAGACAGATTCACTTAACAACCTTGTTACTAAATTAACAACTGCAGTGATTCACTTAAGAACGGTGGCAAAAAAAAGTCGTAAAATGGGGCAAAATTACTTAACAAATTCACTTAACAATAGAAATTTTGGGCTCTGTTGTGATTGTAAGTCGCAGAGTACCTGTACTGTTATATAGTCCATTTCTGAATCACCTGGAAATGAAGTAACTGGAAATGAGTGGGGCAAAGGCTCTCTTAAACAATTAGTAAACCTGGAACCGTCTTGAGGTGAGACAACAACTAAATTAATTGGTAGTACAATTCTCAATTTTGAGGTAAGTTGAAAAATTGCTTGTGGAAATGTCTCACTGAATTTCACCTGGCATTTTAAAGTGCTTAATTTCCACTTTCAGGTTGCTGAAAGAGCAGAAGCATTGGGATCAGGCTTACTCCAAAAGGGATGCAAATCATCACCAAACCAATTTATTGGGGTCTTTGCACAAAACTGTCCAGAGGTGAGACTGCAAGAAATAGAATCTTATTTCCAGACTCTCATTATATTCACATTTTTTTCTATTTATATCTTTTATCATCTTCTTCCAGTGGATCATTTCTGAGCTGGCTTGCTATACCTATTCCATGGTTGTGGTTCCCCTGTATGATACATTAGGCCCCGGATCCATTCGTTATATTATTAATACAGGTAAAGAGAGGAGATTTGTTTGAGCAATTCTTCAAATACACTTTTTGGTATTTTAAGCAGGGGTCTGGTTGTTCAAAAGATGTATTTCAGTAGCAAAAGTCCCTTTAAAGTTGATTTCTCAATGAGACGTTAGAAGAAGGATCAAGATCATACAGGAATAACATTCAATTAATTGGATTTTTACAATTTGTCATTTTACTACATCTCTGCATTTAATATCTGCAGGATCACATGGACCACATGGATCCTAGAAAACCATGTAGCTTTCTTTCTCTGTTTCTTCACTTAAAAGGTCCTCATTCTAAAATCTAGAAATAATATTTTACTCAAAATATTTTGCTTTTGAATCAAAGTTGCTTATGTAATTAGAATTTTAGCAGAGAATCAAGGTCCAACTATTAGATCTTAAAATTCAGATGAGATTTCCAATATGGGAATTAACTGTTTAAAATTTCTATATTTTGAGCTTTTGAAGTTTACTAATCACTTGGAGAGGCCAGGTTAAAAAAGTCTGATTGACAATCTAGGGATAAATATCTTATGGTTTAAAATATAATTCCTGTAACCATTCACAAATTATATGATACCAGAAATACTTCCCATTTCTCTTCTGACTTTAAAATATAAAAATTATTTAAGCTATGAATTAGTATTTTGGAATGGAACAGTTTTGAACTGGTTTTAATTTAGTTTGAGTTTTGAAGCTCATTTTGATTACAGCTTAAAAATTCAGGTTAGTCAATTCCTTAGTCTAAGTCTCTTCTAAATTTTACTATTTTAAAACTAGAATAATCCAGACAAGAGGGAGAACTAGGGCTGGAAAATTGGGAAGATATTGATTCGGAATAAAAAATTCTGTACCTCTGTATACACAATGGAAATAAGAATACATTTGCAGTGGTTGGCTATTAGAGGGTTGGAATTTTCAGGAATCGATACATATTCTTCTTTGAATAAATTTCATAATTTAGATGGCTTGTGATCTGTAAATAAAAATGCAATGATATTTCAGTATAATTATCTGTATCATTTGATTTATTTTATTAGCTGATATTTCTATAGTAGTTTGTGATAAACCTGAAAAAGCCAGAGTCCTGCTAGAACATGTAGAGAAAAAACAAACACCAGGCTTGAAATCAATTATCTTGATGGACCCCTTTGAAAAGGATCTTAAAGAAAGAGGACAAAGATGTGGAGTCCAAATCCAGGCAATGTTGGAAGTAGAGGTGCGGTTCTTTTCCAGTGCTTTATTTGATCTTACGTTGTACTTTTGTGAAATGAAAAACTATTTCAAGGGGTGAGAATAAATGTAGTATTTTGTAATATGCTGAAGAAAGACGATTTTTAAAAACCAAAGACAAGTCATAGTTAATAAATATTACAATTTCATTTTGAGTCAGTGTTAATTCTTAGTGACTGTATGGACAAGTCCCTGCATTTCCTTGGAATGGTTTTTCAGAAGTGGTTTGCCTTTGAGTGATTCCTAGGGCTGAGTGAGAGGGACTGGTCCAAGGCCACTTAGCTGGCTTTATACCTAAGGCAAGACTAGAAATCACAGTTTCCTGGTTTCTATCCTGATGCCTTAATCACTACGCCAAAGTAGTTCAATAATAATAATGTTCAAAAATCTTTTAAATTTGATAGTGTGAAATTTCTTTATTAGTCCTATCTTTCCAATGTATCACAGCATGATGTAAGTTTAAAGAAGTAAACAGCAATAGGAAAGATAAGTCAGGCTAGAGAACTGTTCACATATTATTACAAATATGAATTATTATTATTTTCTTGTATTCTTCAGAATTGTGGTCGGGAATGCTGGCATGCTCCTGTAGTGAGTATAACCCATCCTTTTCTATCTTTAGTATTTATTGTAAACAACTATAGTAAATCCACCATTAACTGTTCAAGGAAAGAATGAAAATCGCAGAAGATCACACTGGATGCTTGTTCACATTGCATTTCTCTTAGTGGGAAATGGTACAGATGTTTTTGTTAATTTTTCAATAAGCAACTTATAAATAGCACTTCAGGAAAATATAGCATTTTAAAAAAATGGCTGTTCATTCAGAAAAGAGGTACCAGAGTTGCCCAGTGCATAAAAATACTTACATCCAGAGAATTCCTGTATCTTGTGAGGTATTTGGCATATTCCAGACTAAAATACAAAAGAAATAATTATTTCATGCTATTTTCTACTGCCATGGGAGGATGTTACTGAGCAGAAGCTGGGTTTCTTCTCATAGTGTGAATGTCCCATGAGAGAATTTTCTGTGCAGAAGAAGATTCCGGTTTTGTGCGACTCTTAATAGTTTATGTTTGTATGCCTTCACAACTAATATGAGGATCCTGAGAAAAATGCTGTGGTTCTGAGCATATGAGAATTGTGTAATGATAACTTTGCCCAAGCTATGATGTGAAAGCTCCAAAAACTCATTGTTGGATACTTTGTACATTACTGGAGTGGAGATGATAGTTGATGGGATGTCTGCGGCCTTCATTTTCCTCTTTGTAAGTCCCAAGCACTCAAGAGTTATTTGGCAGTACAAGTTGAGAGAGAGAGAGAGGGAGAGGGAGAGAGAGAGAACGTGATGAACTTAGGATCTCATTGTGAAGTGCTTAAATCTCAATCACATGTCCGTGGAAACCCTGCAACAGTTGTAAGTGCAAGGATCAGTTATAAATTTATTTTCTCAGTGCCATCATTACAGTGGTACCTTGGTTCTCAGTTGCTTTGAAACTCATCAAATGTGGTACTCATTTGACATGGAAATTTTGGTATTTTGGTATTCAACACACAAGCTAGAACTTGTCGATGTTGGCTGCCTTGTGACTCACTACATTATTCCTTATGGAAAAAAATTGTTTGGTACTCATCCTTTTGGAACTCTTTGTGCCTCCTGGAACCAATTAATGATACATACTGAGGTACCTCTGTAGTTCGCTAAATAGGGCCGTTGTTATTTTGAACCAGATTTTGGGGGGGAAAGAAAGTAAGCAACATCTTACGGAAATGATTGCATTAAAAATGATAATATTATTTCTCTGTTTTTGAAATTGATAAATCTGATGCAAGAAACTGTATTTCTTATTCTTATGGTTGTTTTTTTTTAGCCTCCTCACCCAGAAGATCTATCAATTGTCTGCTTTACTAGTGGTACCACAGGTAAAATTTATCACTTTAATGCTGATGAAATTTAATATAAGTATAGTTTATAGTATAACTTTTTAAGACCCATTTTAAATGTTTGTAAATAGAAAAGTGTACATTTCAATTCTGATTATTTTTACATAGTTTATAATATTTTGGTGGGAAAATGCAAAAGCATAAATAAATATATACATAAATATAAATACGTATGTATGTATGTATGTAAGTATGTATGTATGTATGTATGTAAAGTGCTTATCACCCTGACTGATGAAGTATATTTTGAAAAGTTAAAACATTTATACTGGTAAATAACTCTGGTTAAATTCAAGGATGGAATGATTCGTTTGGCCCATTCAGCTCCAGTGGATATTAGAATTTAAATCTTATATTCAAAGATTTGTGAACTCTGCCTAGAGTAACTAAATCACTCCTTTACTAAATATTTCCCGTCTTGATCTTTTATTTGTGCATCTCATTTTTTTTACTTGGAGCTATATGTATAGCAACTGCAATTTCCAATCAGTTTGAGAGTAGCAGGGTATCTAAATATCCCATGGAGAGTCAAATACATGAGTATTGAAGATATTATTTCTTCCTCTGGAAAATTATATTTCCAGAAATACTTAAATTTTAGCTACTTGGATTTTGATAATGCTAGTTCTGATTACTGCAATTTGCTTTATTTAATTTGACAAATGAAAAATCATGCTTATTCACGCCTTTTTCTCACACTATATTAGAATGTACGTAATTCAGATATTTTCATTATTTCTTTTCTAAATCTCAGCTCTATTAATGAAGTATACATTTGGAAAATTATTCTTTTTATCTATTTTTCAATTAGTGTTTTGGAACTTGACCTCATTCGTTCAAATTTATCTTAAGTTAAATGCACCAAGAAAAGATCTTTAGGAAATAAAATTGGAACAAGCGAAAGCCAAATGTCATATATTTGGATTTTTAAAGGACTTTGTATTACCTCTCCTTTTGAAAAAGATGTCCTCGGTTGGGAGCAATAATCCTGCCATCTCCATCCATCCTCAAATACTACATTTATTTAATGAATTTCTTAATACTTTCAAGCCTATAAATATTTGAAAGAAAATATCTTGATTGCTGTCCATCAGATAGCACTAGGAGAATTGGCTGTAGTTGTAGGAGATGACCTGACAGTGTTGCAGAAAGACTGTATTAAGTTCCAGATTCTATACAAAGCTCTAATACAAATCAACATTTGAACCCTGATAGTAGCTGATTGATTTCAAAGATAGCTCTGATACAAACAAGGTGATTTAAAATATGTTATTCTTAAAATATGGTTATAGTGGAGTATGTATCCTCAGCTTGGTTTTAAAAGCTTGTGGTAGCCTCATACTGAATGAGAGGAGAATTGACAAAAAGAAGAAAACAAGCATCAGAGAGATGGCAGGTGGTCCTGTCTGGAGTTCCTTGTTTAGCATCCTCCACCAAATTGGGCATGTTTTCCAAAAGATTATCGCAATGGAAATGTTGCCCTTAAATGAGAGGCAGGGAGAGAGCTGTTATTCCTAATGTAGATGATAAGACTTCACATTTAGTGCAGTGAGGGGAAAGCCTATGGGAGCCAAATTGCAACACCAGAACAATAATTGTTCATAGGAAATATTTTGTAGAGTCCTTGAAAATGCCTTTTGTGTATATATGGTGAATTGTTTGATTGATCCATCTTGCCTTCACTGATATTATATAAATGAAAACTTCGTAATCTGTAAGCGCTAAGCAGGCATTTAAAGGCTGGCAATGTACATCCTGTCAAAGATCATTTCATTAGCAAATAAGAAACAGATTTTGAAATAAATCTGTGGTGCTGACTTCTTTGTCCATGTTTCCTATCTGATAAATGAGAATATTTATTTGATAGATGCTTTTTCCTCCATTTTCCAGGTAACCCAAAAGGTGCTATGCTGACTCATGGAAATGTGGTGGCTGATTTTTCAGGTTTTTTGAAAGTGACAGAGGTGAATACTCTATTTATTTTAAAACCTGACAGTAAAATGAGCTATATAATTTTGGAAATAGAAACACCTACAAGATAGGAAACTGTCTTAGGAGACTACTTGTGAGTCATGACTGTAATTTCCAATGCCATTGATTTAAGAACAGAGCAACAAACAGAAGGTGTTAATAAAGAATCCGTGTAATTTAAAGCATGGAAGCATGAACAGGCATCCAGAAAGCAAGGTTGCAAGATTAATTTTATAACATGATATTAAAAAAAACTTGGAAGGATTCCTATCCCTTTAATAGTTGACCTAAACAGATTTTACTTGGCTATGAATTTTGTATTGTATCTTATCCTCATAAAAGCATCACATGATATATTCTGTTTAGGACTCAGAGATTGCCTTATGCTAATTGGGATCAACTAGATTAACTATATTTTATTAAACAAGCTTTAGTGGCCTTGTTGAGACATTCTGCTAACTTACAGTATTATGGATGGATTCACCCAGTACACTAAGCCAGAATCAACCACAGCATATTACAAATATCCTAACCACTACTTAGCTCCAATTATCCAGGATTTTATAGGAACCCTTTTCAGTCCTATCTTGATATGTGACTGATAAGCTGTTCAGTCTATTATATACAAATCATGATCTGTAGATTATAGCTGATCCTGTGGATCAAACAATTATTATGGGCCACAGATTTCCTCCTATAGGAGGATAAGGAAAACTACCAGTCTTGCAGTCTCATGTTGTAATTATCCAAATGCTAGCTGGGTTTTTTTTTGTTTATTATTATTGTTTCATTTTATTTCATTATTTATTTTATTTCATTATTTATCATTATATGCTGCCCTCTAACTACTAGAACGACCCTGGGTGGCTTATACCAAAAAGGGATCTTATTATTTTAATAATAATGTTTCATTAAATAAATAGATGGATGTTTCTATAAATAAATGAATATCCTGTCTTTCCATTACAAATAGAAAGTCTGCTAGCTAAATGGTTTGACTTGATCTAAAATATGTTCCTAACTTATGTGGATGTCGATAGTAATTGGTCAATCTTGCTGAAAATGTTAAAAGGAGGCACTTCTTTGGGGAAAACTCCAAGCAGCAAAAGTATCCAAAGTGAACCACGCAGCATTCTTGGGAGGAGGGCATTTTGAGTTGGCATCACAGATGTTTGAATAGAGGGCATGTTCATAGCACTGGTCTCAGAACATACAGGTCTTGCTTAGGTGTCTGGAGAAGGTTGGGGAAGGGAGAGGGATAAAATATGTGCCATGATGCAAACTCCACTCCTTCCATAATTGCACAATTGCGTAATTGTCATGATGCAAATATGAAAGGGCAGAATTTGTGTCAGTGATAGATAATACGATGCACGCTTTGTCATTTTGGTGTTGTGATTAGGAACGGACACCTTTGGTGCCCTGTACAGTGGAGAGAGCTCTCTGCATTACATCCTTGTGTTACTCACCACTCCTGCTAACATAGCTCCATTGGTGTCGTGGCCTAACGCATTATTTCAAACACTGTTCTCTTTTCTCACGTAATAATCTCCACCCCCCCTTTTGCTCCTCTTGGTGCCATTTTTCTTTTTATTGTTTTATGACTTTCTTGTTGTGTCTTCCTGTCAGTGTTTCTTTCCTTTCTGTCTCCCATGCCCTTCATCTGCAGAAAGTGATCTTTCCGAGACAGGACGATGTACTCATCTCGTTCCTACCTTTGGCTCACATGTTTGAAAGAGTGATACAGGTAAGAAACTGCTTAAACTGATGAAGCCTTGTGGGGCTCCCTGTTGTGTTTTTTTTTCCAGAGTCAGTGGTCTCCTACATATGAGGATGTACACATTTCCTATTTGCCTTTAGCACACATGTTTGAGCGAATGGTACAGGTAAGGCCTCAGTGTCAGTGGAAGCCAACATTTTTTCCTGCTGAACAATAAAAAGGGATTAAATAAACAATGCTACTACGTCAGTGTTTTTCAAACCTGGCAAATTTAAAATATGTGGATGTCAACAGCATGCTGGCTCAGGAATTGTGGGAGTTGAAATCTACATATTTTAAAGTTCCAAGACTGAAAAACACTACACTGAATCATGACATAAGAATGACTCACCTGTGCCTGGCTTCACCCATGCCCTACCTATTCAACTCATTAAAACAAACCATCTCCACAGACTGTGGCTTGAAGCCCTTTCTAGTAATTATAGTGACAATTATCCTTAATTTAAGGTGCAAAAACATGCTGAATTGGACTTACATGACTGACTCAAAGTTGACTCAGCCTTCTATGCCTCTGAGGTCGGTAAAATGAAGACTCAGATTGTTTGGGCAATATGCTGACTCTGTAAACTGCTTAAAGAGAACTGTAAAGCACTGTGAAGCGGTATATAAGTCTAAGTGCTAGTGCTCTTAATCTAAAACAGAAGCTGAAGTTTGCGTTTTTTTCCTTGAAGCTAAGAAGAATACTTAAAGAGGAACTAAGTTCTTTCTCCATAGTTTAACCATAGTTAAAAATTACATACAAGTCCTGTAGTGACTGCTTTAAACCTAAAATTTCAGTTACTCCAGAAGGGTTGTTGTTTTAAAATATATTTTATTGCTTCACTTGGAAAAGCATACTTTTAATTCTCAGCTCTTATAAAGTGATTATTCAAACCTACAATTTAACAACTTATAATAAACTACCTCTTTTCCAAAGACTATATTTCCTAAACGTCATAGCTAGCTGTTTGTCCTACAACTAGTGCTGAATTTTTTAATGGAATTTCTTTACCCAGAGAATGTAAAATACAGAGTGGAGAGCCATCACCCATCACTGCTGGCTTTCTAAGTAAATCAGTAGTGCAAGGAAGCAGATTTTGGATTCTTTAATAGAATCATCTGCCCCCTAATGGTAGAACACAAGACACTTGTTCTGTTATTCACATGACATAAACAAGACTATTGGATAGGACCTTCATATGAGAAGTTATTTAATAGTGAGGGTGAAGGTTCATTCTCCAACCATTACCCTCACTATTAAATGTGGGTTGTGGGTTGGTTTCTGAATGTTTTGTTACCAGGCTAGGTAACATCTTCAGCAGAGTTTAGGAGATGTCAATGTTCTTCTGTTTATAAAGGCTTCAGGTGTGGGTGTGTCAAGTGAGAGTCTGCATGGGTCTTTTGATGGGTCAGGTGTGAGTCATCAGTGAGTCTTGTGCTGGGTCTTGTGATGGGGAGGTTACCTCAGGTCAGGGTCACTGGGAGGTGAACTGCTGGTGGGGAAGGCTTGTATGGGTTGGTTGAAGGTCGGTGCTGTCTCTAGTTGGCTGTGCGGTTGATTTGGATTCTGAGGGGTTCATAGGCTGGTTGTAGGTCAATATGTTGATGGAATTGCTTGTGGAGTGCCACTATTAAATATTATTTAACAGTGACTTTACGGTACCACTAATAAGAAAGATGCCTAAAGAGTATTGTATGGGTTTTATAATGCCACACAATTGGGGCATATTGGCTAAAAACAGGAATTAATTTGTTTCCTTTGCCTTTCTTATTACAGTCTGTAGTGTATTGTCATGGGGGACGAATTGGCTTTTTCCAAGGGGATATTCGCTTGCTGTCCGATGACATGAAAGCTCTGCGTCCCACCATCTTTCCTGTTGTGCCAAGGCTGCTCAACAGGATGTATGATAAGGTACTTCTTTTGTATTTATTTATTTTTGTCATATTTATGTAGTGTATATTGGAGGTGGTGACCCTTTGAGAGCTGTATGCAACGAAATTTCATTTTAATGTATGCCAATTAGTGTACATTCAAAGAGATAATAAAGTTATTATTCTATTCTTCTATTCTTATCATTTCTGTTGGCAAATTAAAGGGAAAAAATGATCTTCTCTAATATGGTAGGACTGGATGCTTCTTTCTTTCCTTAAATTCTTTGGCTGCTGCATTTATAACTTTTATGTAAGCCAGCTTACTTATCCAGAATGTTGTACGAGAAATTTGCAGTGGAACAATATGTTCCATTTAAATTTATTTCAGAACTTGAGTACTTCTTAAGTTGGATGTTGTTTTTATGAACAAAAGGAATGCAAAATATTTATCTGATGTTTGAAAATTGATTTTGTTGAAGAATGGAAAAAAATCTATCATCTAAGTGGCAGTATCATCAGACTAATTATAATTATGTGCATACTCTAGTTTAAAGGGTTGCTACATTTTTGTTTCAAAACAGCTCGTGTCTTTTTAAAACACATAAGAAACAATCTAATTATTATAATATTGTAATAGGCCTGTAGTACTAGGTGCTCTTTTGTCAGGCAGCAAGTGAAATAAAGTTGGTTCTGTGTAAAAAGAACCCTATTCAGTAAAATGTGTTTTATTTTCAGCTATTTCTTTAGCTTTTTAACCATTTCTAGCAAGTGTCAAAATTTTGTTCTTTCCCCACATTGCATTCTCAGGTTCTCCATCACTTCCATTCTCACACACCTGTTTACGTATCTTAATGACAGCAGATTTGGTTGAACAATTTCATGTTAAATTCCGACCGCTCACATTTTGCAAATTGTCTTTGCTTGCAAAGAAGAAGGAAAAATCCCCAAAATGTTGTCATATCTTGTTCCCTCCATTCTGGTGGGAACGTTCTGATCAGTGCTGGTGTAATCAGTCACTATGCCTTGAACTGGAAGATAGAAAATAAGGGTAGATGATGTGATGTGCATTGGAAAATAAACAGTAAGACATTAACCACCACACAGTGCCATAGAATTAAAGACAATAGATAAGGTGCCAAAAAACCTGTGCAATGGCTCAGTTTTGTGGCCGTCACACTGTATCTTCAAATGAACATGTGTGTACACATGCAAGGCTCTATCAAATTGTTTTATTTTAATGCTCCTATACAGAAGTCAAACTATGTCCAGTCTCACTATTATGCTATGTGAGAATTGCAATTACTGTAGAATCCTTTTCATAATGAATTCCATGCATAGAATAGAAAGGAGAATATGAGCATGGAGTCATGGGGGTTGGTTGGTGCTAGGAGAGCCTTCCCTTTGCCTTTGTCGACTAATTTTTAACAAGGTTTAGTTATTCTTGCCTTCATTAATTTTTTAATTTTTTAATAATTAACACTTTAATTTTTATATACTGTTTTATATTTTGATGTTTTATTGTATACCGCTCAGAGTCCCTCTTTGAGGAGATGGAAAGTTCAGAAATGTGATAGATAGATAGATAGACAGACAGACAGACAGACAGACAGACAGACAGACAGACAGACAGACAGTGTTGTGTCCTGAGCCTGCAAGAGCTGAAAGCAGGCTCAGAATTGTTGCAAATGGTCCCGGGCAATCCAAAAGCTGCCCGGGACCAGACAGAGTGGCGCCAGCCTTGCGCGCATGCGCAAGGCGCGAAAAGGGTCAATTCCTATTGGTTCACACTGTCCGGGTTTCAGGCACTATAAAAGGCCTGCGTGCCTTTTGCTGTTTGCTTGGTTGTAGGAGTGAGTAATAAAGAGCTTGTTGTTTTCACCATGCGTCTTCGTCAATTGTTAGCGAACCGAAAACACAACAGATAGATAGATAGATAGATAGATAGATAGATAGATAGATAGATAGATAGACTCCCTCATGAATATTGCACTTTTAAATAATATATGAGGGTTGTAATCTGGATGTCTCTGTTTCTTTTTACCTGGAATTTACTGTTGCTCACAGGACTCCCAAGAGGTCAGGTTTGATTTCTGTTGTCACTATTGCCCAGGGTTTGATGCAGGAGCTTGAGGCCCAGAGGGTCAAGGTTTTCTCTTTTACAAAAAGTGTATTCTTCTCTCCCATAGACACTTGTCTAAATATGTTATCTGCAGTATAAAATACTAAGTATGTCTATACAGCACAATTAGTAGCTCGGAAAAACTTTGGCTTCAAAATGTTGGTCTCAGGTTTCCATCTCTATGCATGTGCCTCTATGGAAACAGGCAGTCTTTTGGCTAGCAGCATAAGCTGACTGGGCTCTGGCCACCTGCATCCTTACGGGGGGATGGGGAATGATACTAGAGTCTGTGGTGGCGGAGGCACCAGCAATGCTTGGATGTGTTTATTAGTGATGCTGAACTGTTTTTCTTTCTTCTTCTTCTTCTTTTTAAATATATTTTATTAATTTTTTACAATAACAGCCTTTAGTGCTTAGTGAACAATGTGTTGTCTGTGTTCATATATTTAAAAACAATAATAATTAATTTCTATAATTGATCAATATGTTAGTTGATAATATATTTCCTTGTTCCTCTCTTCTTCCAGTAATATTCTCCTTTTGTCTACATTAAACAAATATAATTCTTAATACTTTCAATACATACAGAATTGGGTATAAACATTTTTCTAGTATTTGTACATATATAACAATAACATCAACATATAACATTTTTTCTAATCAGCTTATGTTTCAATTGTATTTATAGAAGTCATCTTATTAAGTCATTATATAGCCTGCTTTCAAGATTCTTATTTAAGCTTAATTTCCCCCCAGTATTGAAACCACTCTTATCAGTCAATAATTTTCTCAAAATTCATTACTTTTGACTATCCAAACTTTTCATTCAAATACACCGTCTCAATATTTTTACATTTCATATTATACTACTTATATATCTTATCCCTCTTACTATAGGGCCCCTTTATGTCCAAGCTTTGTCTATTCTTTTAACCATGTTCAAACAAATATTTAATCATATAGTACACCATCTAGCAATCTTATTATAGGATCTCTTTATATCCAAACTTTATATTTTTAACAGTATTCAAATAGGTGTTTAATCATATAGTATTCCATCTGGTAAGTTGAATCAAATCTCTTAAATCTAATTCTAATCTTCTTTTTGCAGATTGCTTTCCAAATCAGTAGGTTTAGCTTGCCAAGTTGTATTTTTGTAGATATTGTTGGGGATAAAAAAGACAAATTAAGTAGAATAATCATTTTTTGTCTCCCACGCTTTAATGATTCTCCTGACAGCTCCTTAATCCATTTTATTAAATCTTCTTTTTTGTCCTCAAGTTTGTTTTGAAGTCCTAGAAGGTAAAACATTTTTTTTATTTCCTTTGTTGTAGCAAAATTTTGCGGATTTTCTTTGGTTTGTATTAAGTTGTAGTTCTCTTCATTTGTAGCTTCCATATTTAAGTCATTTTCCTCTGATTTGTATTCTTTTGTCTAATTTATTTGTTCATTCTTTATCATCATTTTTGAGCGTTGTTTAATTGCGAATTTAGGTTAGAGATATGTTCATTTATGTTATCAAAGTTGTCATTTGAATATGTCGCAGCATTGCATATATTTTCTTCTGGAATGTATTTGCTTTGTCTTGAGTCATTGTTCTTGCAGATCTCTGATGTTCCATGCTGGGTCTTCAGCAGAAGGTGTTAGGTGTGGTTTTCTGTCACTTTTAGATAAATATACAACATCCATTTTGTCTCCCTCCTCTAAGTAGTTTTTCACCGGTACCATAGTCTCTTTAATTAGCTTTATCAAACTTAAAATCGTAAAATCCAAACAACCAAATCTTGTGTAGTTCTTATCTTTATATATGGTTTTTGTAATCCAATATGTTTCCAATTATCAAAGCACCATTGAAAACAGTATTTTGTAACAGTTCTTCTTTTCAGGGGTCTTATGATTATCAGCCAGCCAATATTTCAGTCCGAAGTATTTAACCACCTGAAAGCTTTCCAGTAACTTCCCTTTTAGAAGATTAACCAAAGGCCAAGGTTTTTCTTTCTCTGCAAGCAGTTCGTAAACTTAAAAATGCAGCTCAGTGTGTTTATAATTCCAGAAGGTCAGCAATTTCTAAACATATATAATTTCACTCTGTAGTAGATAGCCCAATGCTTTGTTAACAGCTGTTTTTTGCTATTTCTGGGCATCTTGCCAAATTCTAAGTCAATGCAGCTATAGTTTTTTCTAATCCTCCACTAGGTATCAGTAGCTATTCATTTTCCAGCTTTTAAAGCAAAGAGTTATTATTATTATTATTATTTATATATAATTTCATCAATACTTTTTCAGGTATGGAATTTTAACAGTTTTCTTAGTTTTCAAATTCATCCAGACTAGTATTTTTAACCTCATTTCAATATATTTTTGTTCCCCATAAGAGTTTTCGCTGCTTTTGTCTATGTGAGGGTGGGGGTGTAGTCCTCTCCCTTCTCCCTTTGGGAGGATTTTTGCTTCTTGGGAATCTTTTTCAGGAAATCAGATACAAAATAGGAAAGAGAAGATCGAATTCCTCACCCAGTTTCAAGCACGTTGTTCACCGTTGTTCTGGTTAGTGCCTTTGGACTTCGGCTGCAAGTAGCTTGGGCTGGTCACCGAGGTGTGGCCAGCCTTTCTCCTGTCGGGTTAGAGGGCTTCTCCTGGATTGAGCAGGACGACCATCGTCATTCCACAATCATCGGAGCGCCCATCTTTCTTCATTGCCTCTCTGGGGCAACTTTAGACCAATTTAGGATCCCCTGGCAGGGCGAAACTAGCCATGGGGTGAGGAGCTGCGCAATCCCTCGGCTGCACGCTGTGGTGCAAAACCAGATTTTGAACTGCTTTTCTTGTCACATGGTGTTAATATTGGACTTTGAATGACTAGATCTTGCTTACTTTAATTACTTAACTCTGTTATCACTGAGATTTAGTATGCCAAAGATACAGAATTTGCCTACTTTATTTTATAATTTTATAATTTTATAATGATGTTCAAATACAGTAGGGAATGGGACTTGCAAGTCAGGATTTTTATTCTGGTTCCCAGCGGTGTCTAAAGAAACTTTCTGCTTTCATCAAAAAAGCAGCATTGTGTTGCTAGCTCAATCCATATGGGCATCTATGACAAAGGCCCAAAAGGGGTGGGGCTTGTATTGGGACAGCAGAATACAGGACCCTACTTTTGGTGGTAGCGCTTAAGATTTTAAGTAGCAAGGTACTAGGATAATCGAGAAAATATTTTTTATCTACACCTGCCCAGCTTTTGCAAGCATCATTGGATAATAATAACATAATTACCATCATTATCAAATGCTATGTCCAATGGAGGTTTCTTTCATAACACCCAGGAAGAGAGTCAGTTCCCTTACGGCAATCTTTTGATTATCTTCTCTTTGTAATAGCACATATACTCCATTGCAGTTTAGGCTATTGTTCAATGTTATTTTAGCCTGCATTTTAATGTACTTGTTTCTGCAGTATATTTGTATATACAAATACATATATACAAACACACTTGACAGGCAGTATATAGTTTTGTAGAATGATTAATGCAACATAAATGAAGTTGACTTCAATTCTTTACTCTTTTTGTATGTAAAACTGTGCATAAAATGTGATTCTAGTGATTTATCCTGAAGACTTGGCATAATTACTGCCTTATATGATAGTAATAAAAATAACGATCAGCCACAATTGGCTTTTAAGAGCTAAGGATTTCTCTGCAGTTACCAGATGTCTTTTTATTCTGTTGCCATAATTTCCCAAATAATTATATATAACCATGCCAAAATAAAGATCTAAAACACTCAAAATATCTTAATCTCCATTTAGATTTCAGTTATTTAATTACCTTGCAGAATAAATGTCTGTGGAGATTCTCAGTCATCCTGATCCTAGTTGTCTGAAAGGTCCTTTTTCAAAAGGCAACTGGACTGTTTTTTTCCTTGAGGAAGAAAAAGAAGTTTCGCTTCTTATCCAAGAAGCTTCACCGGTTCTGCCAGAATCGATAAAGCTTCTTAGATGAGAAGCGAAACATCTTCTTCTTCTTCCTCAAAGAAAAAACCTGCAGAATGAAGGTAAAGAGAGCATAATTCAAACAATGATAGATTAGCTTTTTCCTAATAGTTTTATGACGCAGTTACTATTAACTCCAGAAACTGTATAGAGCAAATGGCATTTGTGAGAGTCAGTTTGGTCTAGTGCAGGGGCAGGCAACCTTGGCTCTTTTATGACTCGTGGACTTCAACTCCCAGAATTCCTGAGCCAGCCATGCTGAGGGGAAAGGGAGAGGTTTCCAAGCTGAGCCATGCTGGCTCAGGAATTCTGGGAGTTGAAGTCCACAAGTCATAAAAGAGCCAAGGTTGCCTACCCCTGGTCTAGTGGTTAAGGCATCAGGCTAGAAACAAAGATGTCATGAGTTGTAGTCCTGCCTTAGACACAAAGCCAGTTGGGTAACTTTGGGCCAGTCACTTTCTCTCAACCCTAGAAAGGAGGCAATGACAAACCATTTCTAAAAAAAATTGCCAAGAAAACTGGAGGGATTTGTCCACAAAGTCCCTGAGAATTGGATACAATTGAATCAAAGAGGAGAAAAAGACATTTGTAGAGTCATACCTGCTTATATAAGTAATACATTTGCTTCTTGTCATTTTTTTTCTGTCCAAGTGACATTTCCTTGCCTTTCTCCTTGTTCTTTTACACTTATTTGTAGATTTTTAGTCAAGCAGACACTCCTGTGAAACGTTGGCTTCTTGAATTTGCTGCTAATCGAAAAAAAGCAGAAGTCCAAAATGGAATCGTTAGAAATGACAGTCTGTGGGATATGTTATTCTTTAACAAAATACAGGTAAGGATTTATTAGAAACCGGAACTTGTGAGAATCACTCACAATAGGGATGCAATTTACCTTGGATGTTTCTCAAGATATTTGAAAATGGTAGCTTAAATGTAGGAATAGGTGAAGCCCCCGAGCGTATACTAGATTCAGATGATAAAAATGGGAAAATAGCTTGGTTATAACCAAGCCATTTTTTCCCTTTGGTGCAAACCTGCTGAACAGCCTTACCTCTGGGGAAGTGGTTAAGCAAGGCCTAAATATTTCAAATAACTTTAAGTCCAAGAGAAAAGAAAAGGGAATATTTGTTTGTATTTTTTAAACCTGTTTAATTATTCAGATCAGTAGGAAAGGTGCTTTAGAAGATGGCTCAGCTGCCTCAAAATAGCTGTGAGTGCAGAAAAGGGCTTTCTCCTATATGGACGTCAAGCTCCAGAATGTTCTCCCCAGGAAGATGGATTTAGCCCCCATTTCCCCAGTATTTAGGAAAGTGCTAAGACTCACACTCAACATTCATACGTTGTATTTCAAAATTGTGTTTATCTAACAGGCAAACCTGGGTGGTTGTGTTAGGATGATTGTTACTGGAGCTGCTCCTGCTTCACCTACAGTTCTGGGCTTCCTTCGAGCGGCATTAGGATGTCAGGTAGGATGTACTAGAGGATCATTCAGATGTACCTTTTCTGTAATTCTATTTAAGAGTCAGGTGGGGATCAGATACATTCATAATAGAAATTGTAACTATCCTAACAAGATCAGTTTCTTATAAGAATATTTATGTCTTATAGGAATCACAGGAAAGGCCAGATTTGACTTTTTTTTCTCAACTTTAGCCAAGTTATTGGATTGAATCATTACAGGATGAAGCTAAATTATTATGGCAGTTGCCATTATTCTGCCTTCCAGTTCTGCTGATTAGCTACCCTCTTGAAATTATCTTTAATTTAAATTTAAGACCCTTATTATTTTAATGTTTTATTGTGTATTTTGTTCAGTGCCTTTAAGCCACCTATGGTCACTTTTGGCAAGATTGGAGGCATACAAATTTGATAAATAATTCTGTGTTCTCCAGATGGATTGTCTACAAGCCAAGCTTTCTTTCCAGGACTTTGACATAGTAGACACATATTCAAACTCTCAGGGGTTCAAGGTCATCTTGGGCCTCGACTTACAGTGCCCTCTTCCTTTGTTTGCAAGAATAAATACGGTACTTCTTCCTTAGTCCAGGCAGAGCCTACAGCATTAGCCCTCTGAAATGTTATTGTTGGCAGATATCAATAATTTAGCTCTCGGCCACTTAATTTTTTCCTGGCCTAGCAACATAATAAAAAAACAAACCTTTCCCTCTCCACTTTATAAGAAGTTTATAAAGAAGAAAGAGTTTATACGAAGAAAGAACATTAACCACCATTTCTAATTTCTTTATTTACCTGTTATGTTCAAGAACCAAAAATTTGGCTCATACAGTGGCAATATCAGTGATTCTGAATGATAGATTTTTTTTCCCCTTCTGAGCCCAGCAGAGAACTTTACTCCTCCCAGTTTTTAAATAAAATGCTAACATTAGTGTCTTGTTTAAATAATGTGTCTTTGACAGGTTTATGAAGGCTATGGTCAAACAGAGTGTACAGCTGGGTGTACCTTCACCACTCCGGGAGATTGGACCTCAGGTAACAACGAGGCAGGAGCTTCATAAAAGACAGGTGAATGTGGTCATGTAAGGTTGAAAGCACCAAGACCAGAATCCTAAAATATGCTGGCCTGCAAGACAATTATCTATTTAGGCTGCTTCTGACTCATTTAATGTCCTCTGCCAAACAGGCAAGTTCTTTTTAAAACCAATCAATAATTTACCTCCCGTGGAAAGTATAAGTAATGCTAAGCAAAATGCTGTTATGTAAATCTCTGTAGTCATGTAGCGATTCCAGCTTCAATATTTGTGATAAATTGCAGCTCTATTTCTGCACTGTTTTTCCCCCCTTCGGGAATAGTTTTCAGGGAGAGACAAGCAGTAGGTGTATAGGCTGTTTCCTCCACCAATCTCACTGTGAGATACTGTGATTTTGTAATTAATTTTCTCACTCAGTTACACATACTTGACTTCCACTATTTTATTAATATGCAGATAGCTATGTGATAACAAACTGCTGTGGGTTTTTTTGTTTCTTTGTTGTACCTTTTTAAGAGAAGAAAACCACATATTTCTTAATTTGATTTCAGGCCACGTTGGAGCACCTCTGCCTTGTAATTTAATTAAACTGGTGGATGTTGAAGAATTAAATTACTTTTCTTCCAAACGAGAGGGAGAGGTAATATGTACAGTATTGGTTCTTCTTCATTTCTGTTTCTTAGCTACAGATTTAAACGCACCATTTGTTATAAATAAGAGCTGTAGAATAGGAACCAAAATAGAGCATTTCAAAATATGTTCCATTACAGTAGGTTGAAAAGGAATTTGCTAGAAGTAAAGCAAATGGTCAAGTCATGTACTTAATGTTCTTTTTTAAAGGTTTTTTTTAAAGGTTTTTAAGGTTACTATCCACTTGATAGTAACAAGAATGTTCTTAACTGATATGGAAAGGAACATAAATTGCTGTCTGCAGTATTAAAGCATTGTAGGTTTTAGGGTGACTCATATCTTCCTGCATTAATGAAAGTCAGTCCTTGCAAGCTTTCTTTTTGTAGTGTGCTGTTTCTTAATTTCTCACTGCCCCCGTTCCACTTTTAAAAATTATGGAGGATCCCCAAAACAGCTTGTGTTTGTACGAGTTATATTTATTAATATTTACCATATTAAATTTTTGCATTGATGAATTTGTAGAATATTTGTTGAATTATGTAAAAATAACAGTATTAAATCCATTAGATATTAACATACTGTGCTATATTTTATTCACAAAAAAACTCTTTTAACAAATTAATAAGAAGAGTGACATTGTTTTACATTTTTGCAAATATCTTCAATATCTGGCAAATGTTTTTGAGTTTGCAGACTTCTTGGAGGGTTTTGAAGGACCCTCAGGAGTTTTGGGCACTTTCAGAAATTCCTTTTGCTGCCCCAGAACTGGTTCTGTGAAAGTAATGTCAAAAGAGGGCTTTCTGGGAGTGAAAATGGAATCCCCAAACCTCCCTGATTGCTCTCACACTGGGCCATGGTGGCTAGTTACCTGCCCACCTGCCTGCCTGCTTGCGAGCTCCCTGGGACTTGCAATTTCCTGCCAACTTCCCCATTGAGCTTGCTTTTTGGAAGTTAGCAGGAAGTTGCCAGGAGGTCCTTGCTTAATGATGGCAATGAGAACTTCTGGGATTGCCATTGCTAAGCAATGCAGTCACATGACATTGTTTAGTGCTGGAAATTCCAGTCCCAATTACCATTGTTAACCAAGGTCCATCTGCATAATAGTGATAGTAGAGCAGAGAACAGTTGTTCACCTGTTCTCAGAGTTAGATTATTATTTATTATGGTTTGTTGCATAGTCAGCCAGGTATTTAGTCTGGATTTGGCATTTTTATTCACTTATTTTTCAAGGACCTTGGGATAGGCAGATGTGGAAGTTGACGATGTTAAAGGCATCGTCACAGGATGTAAGTTGTTCTGAGTAAAGCTGCCTTTTGCAATTGACTGGTAGTGATTTTGTCAGTGCCATCAAGTGTTCAAGTGTTCCTCCACTTATTTGGGGATTATTATTAGTTATTAAACCTGTATGCCATATTGATTAGTACTTGCTGAATTTCTATCAAAATTTTATTTATAATAGTTCTACTCTGCAAAATTCAAACAACTCTTGGCAGCTTACAGGCAATGGTGAATAAGGTTGGCAGCACTGGTTTGCCCGGAAGCAGTTGGGTTATCAGCCCAAATGAATGCTTGAAGTCCCTTACAGTCTGTAAGTGCTTCTTTATGGGAGATTGCCATATTAGTCTAGCAGTACATAACCTAATTAGTTCTCATTGCATCTAGCAGCTGTGTTGTAAACAATAAGCTGTTTACTACTCTTACTGTTAAGCAGCGTGTTGATCTCTCTTTCAGATCTGTGTCAAAGGTCCCAATGTTTTCAAGGGCTACTTAAAAGACAAAGAGAGAACAGCTGAAGCCTTGGACAAGGATGGCTGGCTTCATACAGGGGACATTGGAAAGTGGTTGTCTGTATGTACTGAACTGCTAATTTTTCATTACTGCATTAAGAATAAAGTTGAAAAGCTACATCTTCATTGTTTGGAAATAATAAAGGGATAAATGAGTTGGGCACCGGTATTTATGTGTATATAGGTGATGAGATACTATAATGTAGCAAGGAAGTATCAGGATTTCTCCAGGGAAATTTGGGTTTACTTTGATCACCCTTTTGGTAATTCAGGTTGTTGTTTGTTAGCTTTATGGTCTACCATTTCTCCATGAGCTCAGTCTGAGGAGTGGGAAGCACCCTTCATTTATCCCCAATTCCAGTCTTGTGAACTAGGTTGAATTACAGAGATTGACGACAAATGTCCAAATCTCTATGGTTGAGGATAGATTAGAACCTAAATCTCCCCAGTCCTGCAAACTTAACCACTATATCATATTGGCTCTCTTGCTGAGGGATCTTCAGAGAAAAGACATACTATTGATGTGATTTAATACAATGTAAGATTGTGATCCCAAAACCATTTACTAAATGGGAAGCCTCATTCATAATAGCAGATTTTTTTCTATTAAGTAAGTATAGGGTTGAGCCATATGCTGCCAGTTTTCCTAAACCATGGAGATATAACTTTAGCTTTTCTTACCATTCCCAAAATGTAAAATAAATTGAAATCTTGCCTAAGTATAGTTCTATTGCCTAATATTTTTTCCTAGATCAACATAATTGTTTTTTGTGGTTTCCTCACAGAATGGGACACTCAAAATCATCGATCGAAAGAAACATATATTTAAATTGGCTCAGGGAGAATACATTGCACCAGAAAAAATTGAAAATATCTACATTCGTAGTGAACCTGTCTCCCAAATATATGTGCACGGAGATAGTTTACAGGTAACTCTTGGCATTTCTATAATTTTCCTGTTTTGTAATTTGCAATATCTATTGCGACTTCCTATAAAGTTAAGATAGCTATTTTTTTCTGTGGTACACTACTTCCCTATTACGAGTGTGGCATAGTTGTCTCAAGATAATTATTTGTTTTCTTTCTACATATGTGAAATATAGGTACAGTACTTTATTCCTAGTATAATGTGGAGAATGTATATTGCCTGATGATGCCACAAATCTTTTGGAATAAATTCAGCTATTAGAAACTGCTATTTTGCTGATGCAAGAGGCATTTCAGAATATGTAGCAAGTGGAGATGTGCAAAACATTTTCAAATTTGAAATGACCCACTTCAATTGTTTTGGGCATGAAACATACATCTGCTTTCATTCGATAATGGCTGGTTTAACCACGTGGGGATCATAGGACTAAGCTGAAAAGCTGGTCACAAATGTGGCTTCCAATTTTATCTTGCAGGCTTTTTTGGTGGGGATAGTTGTACCGGATGCTGAAGTCATGCCAGGCTGGGCCACGAAAAGGGGCTTTGATGGAACTTTTACAGAACTTTGTAACAATACGGTATGTGGTCTTCTGCTTTTGCTTTCTAGTCCAAATACACAAGTACAATGTTCCTTTAACACAGACATGTCAAACTCGCGACATCAAGTGACGTCGCACAACGTATCGGAGTTTTTTCGCCATTGCCGGCAATGGGGTGGGCGTGGTTTCCTGATGATGCATCCGGCCCGTGGGCCGGCAGTTTGACACCCCTGCTTTAGCAAGATTATGCAAGTAAAAGGGAAGATGAACATTCTAGTGGGATCAGAATTTGCCAGGGTACTAAAAGAATTCTGTGGAAGGCAGCTATTGTTAAAATGAAGGGTTAGGCTGTATGTATGTAGTTGTACATGTCAAATGTTTGGAACACCACTCGTGCTCTATGAATTAATGTCTGATGTCATAATAGTGGTACAACTTAAAACGTTTCACATAAACCATTAATTTATTTAGGAGGCCACCTAACTCCAGAATGACTATAGGTAACTATCAGAACCAAAAATCAGTAGAGGTAGAATCTGAAATTTTCAATCAACATAACCCATAATAAAAGCAAACAAAACGGGAAAAGCCAGATTAGGCCAGTATCATATAATGTCAGGGATAAAAAAAAACTTTGGGAAAGTTAGGAAAATTCAAACATTTCTAACTATCGTTTGAATTTGGGATGGGGTGATGAGAAAGCAATGCATAGTTAAGAATGCTCAGGAAGTATGGATTACAGCTGCTTTTTTAAAAACTATTTTTTATTAAAGTTGTTAATTTTTAGTAATGAAAGCAATACAACTTTTAGTGAAGGGATAAAAGAAATAAAAAGTGAATACATAAGGAAGAAAATAAGAAAAAAGAAAGAGAAGAAAACAATATAAAGAAGCAATTTCCAATTCAATAGCAGTTACAAATGCTTGTACTATATATATTACTCTCTTAAGATGACATCATAATTTCCTTCTTTCCATAATCTAGCCTTTCTAACAGTCAAGCCCATAAATCACAAGTTCTTTTTTTTTCTACAGCAAAAAATTCCATAAGGGATTTCCAGTCAGTAATAAATGAGCTCATTGTCCTTTCCCTAATCAGACAAATCATTCTTGCCATCTCTACTAGTTCTATCATCTTTACTAAGTACCCCTCCATTGTGGGTATTTCAGAATATTTCCATGTATGTGCATATAATAGTCTTGCAGCAGTTATCATATAGCAAACAATGTTCCATAGCTCTTTTCTAAAAGAAAGAATACTTAAAACTGGGTCAGCTAGGGATATTGCCTTTACCAAATGCCTAGTGGAGGAATTACTGTACATTATACATTTAAACTGGCATAACCTTGGCAAATTATAGCATTTGAATTACTGTTTTCCTTGTAGTAGAAGGTAACCCATCATGTGTGCATTGGCCCATGAATTCTTTCAGGCCTTAATGCTAAATCTAGCATGGAAATGAAAGCTTTAGAAATTCAGTTCCAATGCCCAAATAACAGTTCAGCTTGCGTGTGATATGCAGGCATGTACATGCATACATGCATGCTTGAAAAATAAAGATGAAGGGGTCTTTTTGGAGATTGTTTACAGGGTTTTCTACCAAGGTTTTTGAACATTGCTTTTTATTGGGCAAGGAGGTACAACCTTCAATTAAATCAATTAAAGGCCATCACAAGTGATGCGTGAATGAAGCCAGAATTAAGAATTGGGAGAATGGGTGTGCAGAATCGGTGGGATTTAAAGTGGTACATACATTTTTGATTGAGGCATTCCGTGCCTCCTTCACTGCTACCTGTCCAGCACACAGGCACATAAAAAGGAGGAAAGTATTTGAATATTAATATTTTCTTGTTGCTAAATTGAGCTTCGTAGCTATAAATAGATGTCTTATGTTCTTATTTAGAAGCTGAAAGACGCTATAATGGAAGACATGGTGCAATTAGGAAAAGAAAGTGGACTTTATTCATTTGAACAGGTAAATACTAAAAATAACTTTGATGACTAAAATGAGATGAACTCCTTTTTGGGATGAACAGGAGGGGATTTTAGCATGCATTATATAAAACCTCACATTGTCACTGTGCTTTGTGGTTCAGCCATATATTCGCTGACATTTCTATTTTTATTAAAATATCTTTATTTAAATTGGTATATAAGAGCCACTTTCAAAAAATCTCTTGTAATAGATAGTACATATCAAAATAAGATGAAAGCAGTTCTGGGAAGTGAATTCAGGCCCTTAATTCTTATAGCTGACCTAGAAAATACAGCAGTTCTTTTTGTTCTCTGTATAGACTATTTTCTCATATGTGCATAGATAGTTTTGTAACAGAACTTACAATAGAACTTAAAATAGATGTTTGTTTATGGGGACTGTACACCCGTAGGGCAGAGGAAGAGAACTTATTGAAAAAAAAAATCCCTTGGGATATAATCCCATGCAGACTTACCTGACGGAATGTCTAGGTCCATTCTGTGAAATTTATGTTTCTACCATCTTGCATTTCACCACTGTCACAATTTGTTTTTTATTTATTAAATTACAAGCTGCTCCAGTGCACAAAATATATTACATAGCATGCAGAACCAGATTAAGCCAACTGATGCCCTGTGCACAGCCCCACAAGGGTGCCTTTCATTGGAAGCAATCAATGTGATATATGATAAGACCTTTAAACCAGAGAACGATAACTACAGGACACATAACCAATTTCAGTGTTAAAAACTGAAAGTATTTTTAATATTGCAAAAGCATGTTTTCCTGTGACAGTCCTATGCAGCCAATAGGAAGATAAAAAATATCTCCGAATTGTTTTCGGCCACAGAACATTTTATTATTTTGATGTTTCGATGTATTTTTAAAAGTCTGTTCAAAAGATAAATGTGAAATGCCAAGTGAAAACATGAGCAAAAATTATTGATTATTTATTTATAAGATAGATTTTATATGGCCCATGAACTCAAATAATGCCACTCTGATTAGTTTACAGCACAAAACACAAACAATAAATCCAAGTCATATAACATTAAACATGTACAATAAATAAATATTAGCTGCAGTTATTATTAATTATTATTAATTAAATTTATATACCGCCCTATCTCCCTTGCGGGACTCAGGGCGGTAAACAGGCGATACTAAAAACCACGATAATAAATAAATAGTTTGTTTTAAAATCGAATTAAATAACAGGCCTGTTCTAAAAACACCCGTAAAAAAAAACAAAACCCCACTGAAACATAATCAAACTACGCCAGGCCGGCCGCACGGAATAGATGGGCCTTCAGGGCTCGGCGAAAAAGGCGCAGGTCCGCAACTGTACGTAGGTCGGGGGGTAGGTCATTCCAGAGGGCAGGAGCTGCCAAAGAGAAGGCTCTCCCCCTGGGGGTCGCCAGCCAGCATTGTCTGGCCGACGGCACTCTAAGGAGGCCCTCTCTGTGGGAGGGGACTGGTCGAAGGGAGGTGTTTGGTAGGAGGCGGTCTTGCAAATACCTAGTTCAGGCCTTTGCGTAACTATATCAAGGGTTCTGGCTTTTGAGGGAGTATGAAGCAGTTCTGCATTGATTGTTTTAGTCTAGGCTTATGTTTGTAACAGTTGTTACCATTTAAATTAACTTAGAATTAATCCATTTAAATTTATTATAAATACCCAACCCAAAAGATCTATGTGGGCATAATAAAAGTTAATATAGAATATATTGTTAAGTTATTATACTGGTAATAATGACTATAAACACACAGAGGGAGGGAGGGAGGGAGGGAGGGAGGGAGGGAGAGAGAGAGAGAGAGAAAATCTTCTGTGGATAGCAGCATTTACTCACAGGGAAAAATGCAGATTCCTAAATGAAAAGATGCAAATTGGTAGCAAAATAAAGTTAAATTTATTTATTTAGGAAAACTGGGATGAAGCAAATGAATGCAGGGTTAAATAGTCTAAAATGAATGTATATCTTGACAGAAAATGAAAGTAACAGTTGGGCTCCCCTTTTTTTAAAAAAAAATGGTCAACCATAAACATCTGTCAGTGATTATGCAATAAAAATAAACCATAAACTGCAGGTCAAAGGGATTTGCTTCATACAAAACCAGAGTAAAACAAAGCATATTCATATTTCATCAATTGGAATCAATGAATGTAATTTTTGTCAGAAAGGTTGTAAATTATGTTTGTTTTGCCTAATAAAATGCACAATTTATCAGCAAATTTCAGGAAGCAACCAAATGGAGTTTTCAGATAAGGATTTAGTTTTGTTTTTCCTTTTGATCCTTTTATACCTATATAATTTTATTTCATTTTTGACATTTCAGGTTAAAGCAGTTTACATCCACTCCGAAATGTTCTCAGTACAAAATGGTTTGTTGACACCTACATTAAAAGCCAGGAGATCCGAGCTGAGAGAATACTTCAAGAAACAAATAGAAGACCTTTATTCAAGTATCTCCATCTGACAGCACAGGAAGGTTCTTCAGAATAATGTACTCTGTAGCAATATTAGGATAATTTTGAAAATGGGAGGATGCAGTTGACATGAATAAGCATCTGACTTTCCACATGAGCCTTCTGCTGTCTGAAGACACGGTCACTGAATAAATACTTTGCCATCTAGTTCTAGGTCCTAGAAGATTGCATAGACCATACTGGACAACCATTAAACTTTTTAAAAGTTCCACTCCTTGAAAGTATTTGACAGGCCTTTCTTTATTAATGCGTGCAAAACTCCCTTAGCAAACAGGAAAGAAATCTGCTTTTTGTGAGATGCTCCTCTAAATCTGGATTCAGCCGTGCAATCTGTAGGATTTCCAGATGTCTCTCTGGATGGGTACTACTAAGAACTCTTTAGAAGCAGGAGGTTCTTGCCCTGATTCACAGGTATACATCATGCACGGATCTTCTTTAAGAGTTTGTCCTCCCAAGTACCACTGAGTGCATATGTAACCAAGAATTCCTCATTGCAACTGAGCTCTTAAAATTCCCAGGAGATATCTGACAAAGACTAGTAGTCTACCTCAAATATTCTTTGATGCTCAAAGCCACAATAAATCTATTAATCTGATATGAGAACTGAAAGCTGGAATTGTGTAATGGTTCTTTAAATGGCAGCTGTTATGCTCTGCAATACAAAAATTGAATTTGTTGGGGTAATCAGTTCACACATAGGAATAACTTGTATCTCATATGAATTAAATATGCTGAATCTATTGCCACGTGCTAGATGAATACTAACCTATGATTGTCACTATAGGGCCTCACGCTTTTCAAAATGGGCAAGACTTGTTTACTGGATACACTTTTGAAAGATGTTGATTGCTCTCTATTTTGGCAGCTACCCAACTGAAATTTATAAAAGGAAATCTAGTTTTTATGAACATGCTGTATAACTTTCGTTTATGGCTCCTACTCTAAATATTTTTTCCACAGATATTTAAGAGAAGAATGGGGGAGTGCCTGTTTTCCCTTTGCACTGCTTTAGACTACAGCATCTTGACTTTCTGAGCAGTCTCACTCATGTAAATATTGCTGAGATTATTGGGGATCTAATATTTAATAATATATTATTAATAATATATTAATTACAATGGAAGGCCTCAGGGTTCTTGACACGCTTTTTCAAGATTTCTGGAGAAATAATTTAAAATGATATAAAGAGGATGTGGGGTTTCTAAGTCAACTGGTGGGTCTCGAGTAACAGATTTTAAGGTATTTTAAAGGAGACTATCCACTTTCACCTTTGGCTGAATGAACAATACAAAAACTAGAAATCTTTTGGTCCTATATTTGAGACTTCCTTTCTCTGTTCAGCCCGTGAACAGTTCACTTAAATCAATATCAGAGCTTCCGTGAAGAAATTAATTGTTCTGGAGAAACTATCTAAAAAGAAAAGGTTGCTTGACCCATATGCATCAGACGTTAGTTCTTCTGTGGAAATTGAAAACTTAATAGTATTGGGTTTGATTCTACAGACTTGAAAGCAAAATCATTTACAAATATACTAAATAAGATGTGGCCCTGTAGAACTGTTAGTATAATCAGTTTTTAAGGCAAGTCTCATTTTTTATTCTTTTTTATGGTTTATTCTAAGTTCAAAGTGCTAAAGTAGTGGTTGAAATTAAGTTAAATTTTGCTGGAATATTCATATCTAAAATTCAGTTGGTTTTTTTTTTTAAAAAAATGGGACATAATGAAAAAATTAAAAATGTAGGCAGGGCATTTATTCATATCTCTTTTATATTAACTTAAGATATTCTTTAAAAGAAATCTGTTCATTGTTCCAATAGTCTTATTGCAAAAAGTACATTTTGTGTCAGTTTTCCAATCTCTTCATCACCTAACTAAAATATTTTACTTCATACTTCAGAATTTGTTGTTCAGCTGCGTCCTCTAAACTGATCCATACAGACTGTGAAGATTAATATGGTTTGTACAAATTCCCCAAGCAGGTGTCATAGCCATACCAGTTGGGGATTATGAGGGCTGGAATTTACCATACGGTATGCTTAAGACAGGCATAGTTTCTTCAATCTACACTGAAAAGTAACTAGTAGTTCCATTAATTTAGATCCAAACCTAAAGTGTAATTTTATAAAAGATAAAGGAGACTCGTAATGTTTGTATATTCACTGCAGGAAGATGTATAAATATATCTTTCCCCTTTTTTAGCTAGATTGCTATAATGCTTGGAGATAATTATTTTAATGTTAAGTTCCCAAGAACTGATATTTTGAGAAAACTGTCATACGGACTAAGCTCTATATTATTTTGATTATATAAATTCAGCATTGCCAGAAATGTCTGTCATGACCTTTTTTACTTAGAATTAAATATATAAGTACAATCTTATATATTTATTAAAGGTTTAGCATTATTTAAAACAGCACCTAGGAATTATGTTGGGTATAATCTATCTGAATAAAATTTTGATTTAAAAAATAAATTAAGCAACATCTTAAAATGCTCTTATCAAGAGGAAATTGTTTGCTTGATTATGCTTTTTTATGTAAAGTAATACATTTATTTCAGTTGTACATCCTCTCCTTTTCCCCAACAGTTACTGGAACTGTTTTAAAGACAATCTTAGAACATCCTAACAACCTAGTGATTAAACTGTGTTCTGTTATACTCAGGATCACCTTTAGGAACGTATGTTTAAAAAAGGGCTGAGCTGTCTGTAACTAATAAAAAAAAAAGAACTTGGGCCTAATGGATAACTTCATAGAGATGTCAAATCACAGTTCCTCAGTTGAGAAAAAAGCAAATTCCATGCCAGGGATCATCAGCAGAGGGACTGAAAATAAAACTGGCCAAAAACCATGCTGTAATACCCTTTCATAAATGCTATGGTTATATCTGCATCTGAAATACTATAGATTATTGGTGTCCAACCTTTTAGATTGCCTGGGCCTCATTGAGTGAAAAGGAATTGTTCTGGGCCACATATAATATATAATATAGTTAATGTATATAAATCATGTAATAAAGTTAAAAGGCTGCATTACTAGCTGTCTAGGGCCGCATGTGGCCCATGGGCTGTACATTGGACACGCCTGCTGTAGATGGTTCTGATCACATTTGAGTTTTTTAAAATGTGGTCAAGGTCTGCTGGAAAAAGTGCAGAAGACAACCAAAACTATTGGGCTCAAACACTTTCCTTACAAGCAAATATTAGAACATTGGAAATCTTTAGCTTAGAAAAAATGGAAATGATTGAGGTGTACAAAATCATTCATGGAAGGGAGAATTGTTTTCTCTTTTTTTCTCAAGTCACTAAAACCAAGAGTCATCCTATGAAGTTGATTGGTAGAAGATTTAGAACAGGTAAAAGAAACCAATTCTTTACCTAGCAAATAATTCACCTAAGGAATTCATTACTGCAAGAAACAGACTAAATTGGATTAATGACTTTAAAGAAGGATTGGATATATTCATGGAGGACAAATCTATCAAGTGCTATCAATTTCAAAGACTCAAATGTTCCCTCTGGTCTCAGGGCAGCATGTCTTCAAACGGGAATAAAAGCAGGAGAGAGAGAATTATCTCCTGCTCAAGAGTACCTTAAAAGTATCACATGCTGGACTAAGATGGGTTTTGGTCCGAACCAGCAGGATAGTCTCATATTTCTATGTAAGTGAAAGATCAAAAGATAAAAATCCACTTATTCCTAGTCAATTCATAAATTTAGGTAAATCAGAACACTAGTTTAAGGAGTTGTCACTACAAACTATTACCATATTAGTACAGCATGAATGACTTTGCAGCTGGGCGCTGAATTTTCAGTACTGTATTTTTTTCTGGTCAGAATCTGCTGGATATGACAGTTACATGAAAGTAATTGAGAAACAAGGCTGTTTTGTGGTATGGGCTTGTGTGCAAAATAGGTGCATTAGACGAAGTCTAAAAATTAAACACTGAAGCTCTAAAGCATGATCTGGAGGTATGCAACCCACAAGTTGTCTATTCTGTACAGTAAGCAACAATGCTGGTTTATCCCTAGATTTAGAAAATATTGAACTTAGATGTAGTGACTAGCATGAGAGCTTCTTGTTTTGTTTTGTTAAAACCCCTGAAGCGGAGCTCAATCCCTATGTTGTTGGGATCTATCCCATTCTTGGCAACAACACAATGGTCTGCTATTCCATCAAAGGATTTATTTATTTTTTACTTCCCAGGGTAGCCTAGAGCCCTCAAGATTGCTGGTGTTTGCCCACCAAACTAGATTCAATTCTAATTTGTCTGAGACCAGCTAAGATTGACTATATGCTGCCACCTGTGGAGGCTGAATGTTGCTTATTGATGTCTTTATTAACCACTGTTACCACATTTGGCTGCACATACGGTTGCTGAGCTCATATAAAACCTTTCTACCTGCTGTTGAACTTATCTCAGGTGGACAGTAAGTGCATTGGCAGTTCCTAAGTGATTTTGTCTGCTCACCTGGCCCTATTTTAAAAAATAGATATATAGAAAAAAGTATCTAAGGCCCTAATCAAAATATCTAATTAAATAGCCATATGTAGGTTGAGCTGTTGGTAGTCAAAGGAATACATTTGCATTCCGTTAAATAGCAGATTTATTTGAATTGCACAATTTGTTATCAACCAGTTTTATTAAGTATAATAATAATAATAATAAAGTTGGAAGGGACCTTGGAGGTCATCTAGTCCAACTCCCTGCTCAGGCAGGAAACTCTATACCATTTCAGACAAATGGCTGTCCAGTCTCTTCTTAAAAACTTCCAGTGTTGGAGCATTCACAGCTTCTGGAGGCAGGTTGTTCCACTGGTTAATTGTTCTAACTGTCAGGAAATTTCTCCTTAGTTCTAGGTTGCTTCTCTCTTTGGTTAGTTTCCATCCGTTGCTTCTTGTCCTGCCTTCAGGTGCTTTGGAGAATAGCTTGACTCCCTCTTCTTTGTGGCAGCCCCTGAGATATTGAAACACCGGTATCATGTCACCCCTGGTCCTTCTCTTCATTAAACTAGACATACCCAATTCCAGCAACCGTTACTTATGTGCTTTAGCCTCCAATCCCCTAATCATCTTTGTTGCTCCTGTGTGTATGTATGTATGTATGTATGTATGTATGTATGTATGACTTGTTTAACATTACAACTGTTGTTGGATATAGAAAAGTTCTACCGTAATTATTCTAGATTAAAATGGCACCAAATTAATAATTTCAGTCTATGATGCTATCAATATGCTGTATAATATATCACTAGAAGCAATAGTAAGGATAATGGAATTAGTTCATCAGTCTGAATTTACACACCAGTAAACTAAAATTGGGTTCATAGTGATTATGAAATCCTGGTCATCATAAAGGTAGCCATTCTCCCTTCAATGAATCATAGGTGGATGTTCATTGCTTAATAAGTTGGATAAGTGAATTATGTCTAGTGGATGTTTGAGTGACATACTAGAAACTTTGTATTAGTGTATTTGTGATATTCACTGTTGAGTGAAGAACATGCAGGAATGAATAAGAGATGAGACTGATCTCTCACAAGAAGAATGGGCCATTCCAGTTATAAAAATGTTGCATAGTTTTACATTATATACAGTATACTGCTAACACAGACTTTCCTCCAAAATATCAATGAGATTATATAAGTAAAATTTAAAGCTTCACTTTAAATATAATATAATATTTTGGGGAAAATAAAAAAACCTGAACTGAAACATGAATTTATTTTATATGAAAGAGAAGCAGAAAATCCTTTACAAAAGTTGTAATGGCACATTGCTGGTAAAATAACAAAATCCCATTTTGGGGATTAAATTATTAGTGCATATATCAGAAAATAGCTTCAGTTTTCTTGGAATGCATCTAATCAACTTGAAAAAAAATAATCTTTGGTTTGCAATGTGTGGAAAGCACAAATCAGCGATCTATATGTAAATAAACGTGTGAAATGAAATGTAAATTTTAGAAGAATATACTATTTTTGCATGAAATCGAGCAATTTAACAGATGTGCTGATGTCTCATGGAAAATGTTATTATACAGATGGCTCATACCGTAGCTGCATATTGGTTTGCTTTCTTTACATTCCTCTTACATAGTTTTAATTGAACTTGCACTAAAGATAGAACTGTTGTTGCTTGGTAGAATTTGCCTTAAGAAGGCTACATGCCTCTAAATGACACTATGCCAGCGGGCTGCATGTTCTAGCTTCATTTAATGTGTCATCCTTCGATTTGAACTTTCCACTAACTAACTCAGGGGTCCTCAAACTTGGCCCTTTTATGACTTGTGGACTTCAACTGGCTGAGGAATTCTGGGAGTTGAAGTCCACAAGTCATAAAAGGGCCAAGTTTGAAGACCCCTGAACTAACTAGTAGAAACATCATACTTTGCTTGATGCCCTTTTATAAACCAAACTTATCCTTTCATTCACTGGGAATGTTCTTCAGTAGAAATCAACAATACTTTTTTTAAAAAGATTTTTATTTTACCTTCAAAGTTACTGGTAACAAAGGTAGAAGGAAGCAACCTTTTTGTCATTTTGCTTGTGTTCAGTGCTCAAGCAAGCAAACAAACATGATGTAAAGCCTAGTTTTAAAAAGTTAAATCAAGCTACTTTTCACTCCGCACTGCTAAGTACTTCATGTGCTACACCTTGAAATCAGATGGAACAATACTGTCATTTCCCTCAACTTCCATCTTCTGCAGATATGATGGGACGTTGGTTCCCGGAAATCTTCAACTCTATGTTAGCTGGAGAATTCTAGGTGTTGAATTCCAAACACATCTCAAGCAGGTGAGGCTGCACTAGATTTATATCAGTCCACATTAGAAAAGGTTGCAAAGTGTAGCTTCTAGAAGATGATTATAACAATTCCTATTAATTCCTATTAAAAACAAACAGGTGAGCAAATCTACCAAATACCCAAAATAAAAAAAATCAATGAGTAATACTGAAGTGAATACCGAAGGAAAGGAATTCCTTCCTAATGATTATTTCTGCACAGGTGAGAGGATTGAGCATATTCATTTTATTTTTCCTAATTTGCTAGTCAGGTTAAGCAAAATAATAAAGATGAATAGACTAAAAGTAGTTTCTACCAGGAGAAAAGGAGACTTCATTAAGTAAACTTTTTTTTAAAAAAAAAATACTGCATCTTGATTTATGCTCATTTCCACATCAAGGAAAACTCCGCTCACCATATTCATTCTTACTGTTACCATTGGAGAATTTTGCTTAACTATTTTTCCCCCCAAATAAATTGCTACATTTAGCTGTTCTATTAAAGACAAGCATAAAATACAACTTAAAAATATAGTTATGCAAGTTCAAAACAGTTGCAAAAATAGTTCTGATTTTGTAGAAACAGTTAATAAAGAAAGAAAAAAATCTAGCTCTAAATAAATTGGTTAGGAAACCAATCCAAGCAACTGAAGGGATTTGGGATCCAGTGGCTTCAACATTACTTGCAGTATTCTCCATTCAATCTCTACTAGCAGAATTGTCACCTGTAACATATCATGTTCTTGAACATTTTCACCGTTAAGGTTTTCAGAGCTCATCTTCTGCCCTTCCATTATAGCATCTTCTATTCTGGGCGATGCAGTGGCTCTTCCAATCTGCCCAGAGGAAGCTCAGTTGAGTTCCATTTCCTGAATTTGGGATTAATCTCAACATTCTGAAACCAAATAATGCAACTATTTTGCTGGGCAACAACTTCAGGACATCATAAAAATATTAATGTATTTCTGTTGCATTATATTCAAGTAGAAATTCTATCCTGTTTTACCAGGGAGTACGTCCCACTGAACTCATTCTAGTTTATTTCTGAATAGACAGAAGCTATTAGACCATTAAAATGTGAAAATAAGAAGACATTAAACAAATAGCAGTTTTAGTGTGTCCAGAGTTTTAACAGAGAACAAAATTAGTGCTGCCTTAGCATGTTTAGAAAAGAGACATTTCAGCACTTGCAACTTTTAATCTTGCATGAGGATCCAAATCTACCAAAATGACCTTCCTGAGAAACACTAAACAGCACAAAGTCCTGAGCATTGCTGCACTGAGTTATACACCCTGGTAGTAAGCAAGAAAACCAGGAAGAAAAATAATACATAAGTTGTTTTTCAGTTATTTTTTTTCTGTGAGATAACAGCACCTCACCATACCTTTCTATCATGCAACAGGACAACATATCTGCATTGAAATAAACTGCAAGTAAATCAGCTGTTTACTTATATATTACTTATTCTATTTTCAACAAAAAGTGAAGATTAAAAATGTAATGACTAATTAAAACATCGGTAACTAACCATTTTTTGTTTCAATTTTGGGATATCCGCATGTACTGTATACTTAAAATGCAAAGGGGAAGATGCAGACTTTTATTTTGTAAAAAAAAACTGTCAGGTTTATCAAATTTGTTAATATTTCTCTCGAATGACAAATAAAATATTTTTTAAAATCCTGTTTTATTCCAATAATCTGTCTATGGACTCAATAATAAATTGTTCAGAAAGAGTGCCTATTTTAAAATGTGTGAACTTTCCTTTTTTAGAAAAAATATCCACAAGTACACTTTGGAAGTCTTCAGTGAACTCAAATTCCAATATTGAAAATGAAGACAATTTTTGAGCTTCTCCAGTGGTTTGACGGTATTATTATAAAATTGGCAGCACAGCACAATGTATTAGCTTATTCAACATGAACTACAAACTAGAAATATATAGCTTTTTTCAGATGTCTTTAAAATAACAAAGTTGAAAGAACTGTTCTGCTTATGTTGTCCCTTAGTATCTGACAATACTGTATTCAGATGACAGAGAATGTTACTTTTTGGTTGCATGTAAGGAAAAACCGTAAGGCAAACTTAATAATGCAAAGGCTAAGGAGCCATATGATCTGTCAGGCCTCAGATCTTACACTTCAAATTTTAATGGAGCAAAAAAAAATTCCTGTATTATTTATTTCTGTTCTTATAGAATGAACTTGGATTCTATGGGAACACAGAAACTCTCTGAACTTAAAGCCACAGCAAACTTTTATTGACATATATATTTGCAAATATATATGCAAATATATATCCGTGAAAAAGCCAACCTACAAGTTTTTAACCACAATACCATGAAAAATATGCCACCCATTGATAAGACAAACCTTGAATTTTTGTATGTTTTTTCAATATATTCTGAAGTATTTCATCTGTTTTTATATTCTGTATCAATAAATGTTTTATAGAACAGATTCTGCTTTAAATTTCCCCAATTGGCTTATCACCCCTCATGGTGCTTTTTTTCAACAGCTCCCATATTCATGTTTTCTCCCTCAGTCATTTACTAACCCAAATCCTAACCGCAAAGCTGGCCAGGAATTGCCAGGCCTGACACAGAATGACTCGAACTGGAGTAGCCCAGGATCCCCTTTTTATCCCTAAGAATCATTACAACATGATATATGATGTGATATGACATGACATGATAGATATGATATAATCTAGAATATAATGAATAGTATAATATATAAGGCGCAGTGGCCTAGTGGTTAAGACACTGGGCTTGTCAACTGGAAGGTTGGCAGTTTGAGACCTAGGGTACTGCATGATGAGGTGAGCTGGTCCTGCCCCAGCTTCTGCCAACATAGTAGTTTGAAACAAAATGCAAGTAGATAAATAGGTACCACTGAGATGGGAAGGTAACAGTATTCTGTGTGCCTTGGCATATAGTCATGCTGGCCACATGATCATGGAAATGTCTTTGGACAATGCTAGCTCACTTGGCTAGGAAATGGAGATAAGCACCGCTCCCTAGAGTGAGGTACAGGGCAGGAGAAACCTATAATAATGTCATATCATACCATCATATATATCACATATCATATATCAATCATATATAATATATAAAAACCAAATCTTTTAACAAGAGTCTGGCTTTTGTCTGTTCTGCATAATACCTACAACCCTACATATGTTTCATTAGGAATGGATTCCATGAGCTTGTAAGCAAACAGGTAAGATTTCCGAATGAACTTTAGGGCAGGGATATCAAACTGGCGGCCCGCAGGCCGGGTGCACTACGGCCAGGCCACACCCACCCTAGCTCCGCAAGGCAAAAAACATCACGATATGTCACAATATGTCATGTGCAGTGCTTTTTTTGTAAAAAAAAAAAAAAGGTGCCGGAACTCACACATGTCATATAACCCACCTTGCCTACCCTACAAGGTTCCATCCAAAAAAGGTGCCGGAACTCCGATTTTCTGTGAGAAAAAAAAGCCCTGGTCATGTGACACAATCAAGTTTGACATCCATGTCTTTGACAATGTTATCAAGGCTCAAATTTCAGAAGAGGTTACAAGGGAAGCAAAACTAGATTCCAAGTAGTTTTAACATGCTGTGTAGCTAAAGGGAAGCACATATACTTTGCTTGCAGTCCCAGGATCAATTCAAGTAGGCTAGCACATATACCTTCCTGAAATCCTGCCAAGCTGTCTTGACAATATTTTGCTAAATGCATCTTTCTAACATATGAAACATGCTGGCATGCCACAAATCAGGAAGGAAAAAAAATATTACTTCCTGTCCTGGGGAATCTTTTGGCATATTTCCTGAAATAGTGATCTTAGTGTTCTTTAGTATCTTCTTCTTATTGCTGAGTAATAATAAAACTAATAATGTTGAAAAATAAATAATTTATTTCTGAAAGACTGTAAAATATTTAAATTCACATAAATAATTTTTAAAAATACTTAAAATATTTAAAAGTAAATAAATATGCATTGCTGTGTTCAGTATGTGGACCCTATAAGGGTGTATTGTTTCTCACATGTACACAGCCATGTGTACTCCTGAGAAAAAAAGCCCCAATCTCTAGCTGAATAGTAGCTATGTTAAGATTTAGCAAAATGATGCAAAAGTTCCTGCAAACTTTTGAGATCTCTTCATCAAACAGAGTACTAAATACAAAAAATGGGGAAAAGTGGAAAAGTTTTGTTTTTAAAAAGCCAATTCTTAATCATGAAACCTTCAACTTCAAATCCATCTCAGAAGGGCAACTGGAGAAGTGAACACATTAATCACTATTTAATAGTCATAGAGGTCAATCACACCTAAGCAGTGCTGAACAAATAAAACGTTCGGCAAACACAATGAGTCTTGTCAATTTGACAAAGGCGTCTCCTTGAGTGACAGAAGGTAGGAGTATAAAGAAATTACAGAGTCTTCCGTATTTAAAAAGCCAGGATTCTACGTCAGGTTATACACAAGTAAAGAGATTATGCAACAAGTCAAATTGTACTGTAGGAGGCGGCGAAAATAAACTCTTCAAAGTCTTAACACTCCTCTTAGTTCGCAGAAATCAATCCCCCTTTGGAAGGATAATGGGATCTGCCACCCAACGCATCTGGAAAACATCAAATTAAGAGGCGAAACACACGACGAAGCGCGCACGTGTGAAGTAAATCAGATACGAGTATCGGCAGCCGGGCTTTTGATTCGATCGAAGCCTTTCCGCAGATTGTTCTCATTATAGACGCCCAGCCGCTGCCGTTCATGAGCTGAACAAATGAGGCGAAGGAAGGAGAGGGTTGAGGACTCCGATAGGATCATTGGACCCGTTCCTGAGCGGTGATTGGGTGAATGTAGCTGTCTATCAGAATGCCGAAATGTCATTTATTTTGTTTTCCCGCGGGAGGCGACTGTCTGTTATTAAGGAAGCTGGTGCAGCGGACGGAGAGGCGGACGGTGGGTTGTGGGTTGTGGGCCATAGGACCTCTCGAACAGGAGGTTCTCGTCCTTTCGCTGGTATTTTTCAGAGTTATATTTTGAGACAGCTTTTGCTACCCTTAAAATCAGGCGGCCACGTTAACGGTAGGGCAGTTTGTTCACCTGGTCATCTCACTTTGGGCCCAATCTTTATCATTAGATCCGGGTTTATAATTTATAGTTAGGTCTGGATTTATAATTGCATCCAAGCATCCTTACTTCTCCCACACCTACATCTCTTCATCTGCTGATTCTTGGCTGTTCTGCATTTCTCCCTATATTGGCTAAATTTTCACTTCAGCTCTTGAATCGTTTTCCTGAGAGAGTGTCCTGGGTGTAGCACATATTAATGCAAAACTAATTATACTTTTTGAGTCGCTGTCTGTCTGTAGCAAACAATATTCCTCTAGAAAATACCTTTTGGTATTTATCTTGGAGGGAAATGGTATTTAACTTCGTTGTAGAAATAATAGCAGATTTGGAGTTAGTTGCTGCAGCTCCTGGGCAGCATAACAGAGTTGGAAAGGATCTTGGAAGTCTTCCAGACCAGCTCCCTGCTCAAGAAAGTCCTAGTAGTCAAACCCTGTTTTCTCTTTTTTAGGGCACATTAAATTGGATGACTGCTTTATTCACTGAAATGATATCAAGTTCTTTTTGTGTCAAGGTTTGTTGTACCTTGGTTCCTGTTTTCCTGAGCCATCCTGGCTTGAGTAGAGCAAGTATTGACAACCAGTAGTATGTCTAAAGATCTTTAGACTTCAAAAAGATGCCTTGGCTTATATTTGACTTAGAGCTTGTCTTATTTTTTTCCATTTGGACAGTAGTTTTGAAGGAGGAAAAGCAGAGGAAAAGAGGATGGATTGGATGAAATTACGTTCATATTCCCAGAAGAGGCAAACCCAAAAGAGAACACATTGTGCTTCTCCATTGCCAGCTAAAACAGCATCTGTTGCAATGGTCGAAATGAAGAGTAAAGCCAAAGCCTCTCGGGAGCGTCCAGATCAGCTTTCTAAGTTTAATTGTGATCCTCAGGTGAAAAGTACTGTTGGTAAAAAAAAAGGTGAGATCTTCATGAATAATTAAAGTATTCTTTATGTTTCAGACTGTATAATCTCTGTACTTTTTTGATCATCCTCGAGAGCTTTTAGATGACCTGAAGGCTGAAGAAGATCTGATCTAGTTTGAACATTTCTCTACATCGCATTTAAATCACTTATGCTTTCTGTGAATTTGATTTTCAGTTAAGGTATAGGACAGGGGTGTCAAACTGCCGGCCCGTAGGCCGAACGCGTCACCAGGAAACCGCGCCCACCCCATTGCCGGCAATGGGAAAAAACCTCTGATACGTTGTGCGATGTCACGTGACGTCGCGAGTTTGACATGTCTGGTATAGGAGAACAATATAGCTCTAAGGCTCAAGATTTTTCACAACAGATGTTTTTCCTGTATGAAATAAATGAATTTGACTGCTTATAGTTCCTGAATTGTGGTGAACTGAATCCTGCCTAATGTAGATATTTAATTTGATTGTTAGAGTTATTATTTGAATCATTTGAAATCCTCTCAAAGCTCTGAAGAGGTAACTTCAAGTTTTGAGGCAAGACATCTTTTAAATACTGCACTCCATCCTCTTGCCTTCCCTGAGTTAATGGTGAAGGTCTGAAGTTGAAATGTAGCTGTGTACTCCTGATTTTATAGGGCCCTGGATCTCACAAAAATATACAGGGCAATCATGGTTAGTTCCTTTTAAAGCCTGAAGATTCATATGGAAGAACCAGTGGTTTGGTGAGGGCCCATTTCATCTCTATGCTTCTATTTCCTGAACAGTTTGTGCTTTCCAAATAGTTTCCTTCTGCAATCCAACAAACTGATTTCAAGAGTCAGGAAGGTGTCAGGAGTTGTTCATTGTGTAGCTTTAGGAGAAATGCTGTAAGTTCTAGTTACATCACAGCCTTATGTGTTTTATTAGGAAATTTATTCCACAATATATTTTGTGGTTTGTTTATTGCCCTGTGTGCTTATAACTGCAAGTGGATTATTCTCTGAATTGCAAACTAGGTTTGAGCTGGAAAAGAAAAAACTCTCCCCCCCAAAAAACTTATCCTAGACAACTTTTGGAATAACAGCACAATAGGATGGAATGTGACAAGAGTGCATTTATCTAGGATTCAAGTGTTTAAAGAACCTTGCTTTTAAAAAAAGGGTTCCTATTGGTAAAGCTGAGATTAAAATGTTCATTTTGTGTAGGCTGATAGTTTTTGGATGAAGGAAAAGCACTTTTTGCTGGACAGTTCGAGGGAAGATAGTTTCAGGGATAGGGAGGGCTATTTGGATTTTCTCAGGCTTGAAATGGATGGCATATATACTGCATCTGGTTTATAGCCTGTACTTATTTTTTCTTGAATACAGGTAGTCCTTGACTTACTATCACGTTTGAAGCCAAAATTTCTGTTACTGAGACAGTTAAGTGAGTTTTGTCCCATTTTATGACCTTTCTTGCCATGGTTGTTAAGTGAATTATTGCAGTTGTTAATTTAGTAACAAGGTTGTTAAGTGAATTGGACTTCCCCATTGACTTTGCTTGCTGGAAGGTTGAAAAAGGGGATCCCATGAGCCCAGGACCCTGCAAATGTCATAAATATGAGTCAGTTGCCGAGCATGTGAATTTAGATCATATGACCATGGGGATGCTGCAACGGTCGTAAGTGAAAACTATCCTAAGTCACTTTTTTTTCAACGCCGTTGTAACTTTGAAGAGTCACTAAAGGAAATGTTGTAAGTCGAGGATTACCTGTATGCATTTTTAAGAAGCTTTATGGAGAATATTCTGATTCTGAAATCCAGAAGCATTTCAGGAACAAGAAACAATGCCTTCTGGTTCATTTTTAGTTACATGGGTAAGTTGTTTATTCTATTAGATTTATATGCTGCTCCAGTCATAATTACTTCTGAGCAGTGTATATACTGATACTTTATAGCAGGGGTCTTCAAACGTGGCCCTTTTATGACGTGGACTTCAACTCCCAGAATTCCTCAGCCAGGCACGCTGGCTGAGGAATTCTGGGAGTTGAAGTCCACAAGTCATAAAAGGGCCAAGTTTGAAGACTCCTGCTTTATAGCAATAAACTATAAAAAACTAATGTAATACAGAGAGTCCTCAACTTATAACCATTTTGTTTAGTGACCGTTCAAAGTTACAACAGCACTGAAAAAAATTATTTGTGACTTTTTCACATTTACAACCATTGCAGGGCCCCCACGGTCAGGTGGTCAAAATTCAGACGCTTGGCAATTGGCTCATATTTATGACGGTTGCAGTGTTCGGGGGGGTCATGCGATCCCCTTTTACAACTTTCTGACAAGCAAAGTCAATGGGGAAGCCAGATTCACTTAACTACCGTGTTACTAACTTAAGAATTGCAGCGATTCACTTAACAACTGTGGCAAGAAAGGTCGTAAAATGGGAGAAAACTCACTTAACTCTCTCACTTAGCAACAGAAAGTTTGGGCTCAATTGTAATCTTAAGTCGAGGCTACCTGTAAAATACTCCACTGAACAGCCAGTGCAAACATTTCCACTGCTAAGGGGCTCAAAGCTAGCTGAAAAAAACCCCCCAGTTCTTAATTGCTTTTTGAAACTTAAAGCTGAAGCTGTTTTGATGTCTAGGTATATGTACCAGAAAAAAGGAACAGTGTCTGAAAAGGCCTTCAGATGACACTTTATATCATGGGTATCTTTATACTTTTGACTTGCCTGGACTTCACTAAATCAAGAGGAAGGGTTTTGGGACACATATAAAATATAGAATATAGTTAATGTATATAAACAAACTTTACCTTAATATTTTTTATTATCTCTTACGGGGCACATTACCAGCAGTCCAGGGGAACAGGGTACCCATGGGACGTGGGTTGGACACACGTGCTTGTACACTAATGGCACGGGTCCAATGTGATCTTTCTTTTTGAAAGTTTAATAGATGAATAGAAACAATCAGGGGAAGGGCTTATGAGCTTATAAAGATAACAACACACGCCTTGAAATGCTCCCCAAAGCAAACTAGTAACCACTGCAGCTCTCAAAGTAGTGATGTTATGTGACTAAATTGTGTGGGTCTCCTAACTGCCCAAACCACTCCATTCTGGACTAGACAAAGTTTTCAAGTGGTTTTCAGTGGCATCCCCATGGACAACATATTGCAATAGTCCAAATAAAAGATGATTCAGTGACTGGGGAAGGCCTTCCAGTTCAGGAAAGGTTGTCCAGGAGAAACACACACACACACACCCGTCCAGATAACAGTTCAGCTTGGGGAAGCGTGATCATATCCAGAAGGTGCAATATCTTTTATCCAAACTATAAAAATATGATAATTTATGGAAGAGAGACACTGTTCCTCGTTTTAAGCTGGTGATCCAGGCCTCATTTTCCAATAATCTTTGACAATGTTTAACCCAGAAGTGTGATTATGAATAGGCTTCACCAAGTGTACCATAGATGTAAGAAATTCTTCCCAATTTGTGAATAGTAACTCACCTCTTGATTAGTCTGCCACCTTAAAACTGCCTAAACTTGGAAAAATGAAAGCTTTCTGTGTGCTGTAGGTGGATTGCTTACAAAGTTATTAAATTGAGTAACCAGAAGGGGGAGCATTTCTCCTTTTGAAGAGAAAGTAAGTTTAGAGAGTAGGGAAGTTTTTTCAGAAATGATTTAGGCTTTCTTAGGCTGGGAGAGAGTGATCACCCAGCTAATTTTGTGCATAAGTCAGAACTAGAACTCACAATCTCGTGGTTTGTAGTCTGATGCCTTAGGCACTACAGCAAACCGGTTCTCTATGCCCCGTTTACATAAAACAAATCATTAGGTGAATGCAAGACTTTTAGATAAGCTTAATAATGTTGAAAATCTTAGAGCTCTATTTTCCTCCTTACTCCTGCTCTTCTAGTAACTTCTACTCTACTTTCTGTCTTGTTAGGGCAAATGAAAAGCACTGTTACAAAAGCATTACCCAAAATTCAAGAACACTCTCAAGTGACTCAGATGGTTTGTCCTTCATCTGAAGAAAGGTAAGGAATAATAGGCATTCAGGACTTTTTATTTATTTTTCCTCTTTTAATCTTATGAAAGGTTTTAGATCACTTTGTTTTAACAGTAAAACTCCATGTGGGCTGGGGATGATGGGACTGTAATCCATTACAATAAGGCAGTGATGGCGAACCTTTTAGAGACCCAGTGCCCAAATTGCAACCCAAACCCCACTTATTTATCACCGGGTGCCAGGTGGGCGTGGCCGCGGTGGTCGTGGCAGACTGGGTGGGTGGGGCCAGGGTGGCGGGGGCCAGTCCCCTCACCATCTCCGGAACACAGCACGCCCACAGAGAGGGCTCTGAGTGCTGCCTCTGGCACGTGTGCCATAGGTTCGCCACCACTGCAATAAGGGAATGGTGTTCTTGGGCCAGTTTTCTTGTCAACAGTATTCTTATTAAATGAATGCTCAGGAGCAAGAATAATACATTTACTGTTTTACTGAAGGAGGTTGTAGATATCTGAAAAGATCTGAAATTGCCTCTGAAAATATAATTGCCCTCATTTTTTTTCCTAAATAGCACTGAATTAAATTGCAATGAATATAGCAATACAGAGGTGACCAACGATATCAATGACATGAAAACAACTCCTTTAAAGGTAGACATAGTACTATGAGATCACTTACATTGAATATATTTCACTGGTGTGGAGGCATAGATGAGGATAGTAACCAGGATTCCATTAAACCACTTTCCGCTATGATTGTAATTGGAGAAAGTTGATCATATCTGGCTCCCATTGACTTATATTGGGTTTACACAATACACTGAATCATAAATTAACTGAACTATTCACTTAAGTCATAAAACATTAACCAGGGTTAAAACTAAGTTTAGTATGTTTTATAATAGCGGTCCCCAACCCCTGGTCCATGGACTGGCACCGATCCATTGCATGCCAGAAACCAGGCTACACAAACAAGCAAAGCCCCATCCATGGGATGCAGGCAGTACACGAAATCATGCCCCTCCAGTCCATAGAAAAACCTCTCTCCACGGAACTGGTCCCTGGTGCCCAAAAGGTTGGGGGGGAGCTAGGACATGAAGAAGCATGCAAGGGGAAGTCAAGAGTATTTTACACAGCAAGACATTGTCCTGGGACATTGTGGTGTCCTTTCCAGTCTTCTTGATGAGAAGGATGATAATCATAATAATTTATTAAATTTATGTGCTATCTGATTCCCAACAACTGTGGGCAGTTTACAGATGGTTAAAACATTTAAAACAACTTTACAAAAATATAGAAGAAAGTAATAAGATGTCAAATAATCATAATAATTTATTAAATTTATGTGCTATCTGATTCCCAACAACTGTGGGCAGTTTACAGATGGTTAAAACATTTAAAACAACTTTACAAAAATATAGAAGAAAGTAATAAGATGTCAAATAAAACAAGCCCAGATGGGATGATGAACAGTAGACCTATGTATGATGTATTATTTATTTATTTGCTTGCTAATATAGTTTCTTTGTGTTCACTGGTGTAATAGTTTGATCATAAGAATATTAGTCCCTGCTTGAGGAAAAAAAATGCTGTCCCAGAATTACAGCATAGCTTGGGTAGGTTAACTGAAGAAAACATGTAAAGGATCACTCCAAGGAAACAATTTGTGAGAAATTGTATGATGATATTTGCTATGACATCTGGTCTTTCATTGTTGCCCATAGGATTCCTTGCATTTAGCCTCTGCAGGTACACAAAGCCTGAGATACAGTGAAGCTACTTCAGGTAAATATTTCCATGTATGCTGTGCTATTCTTTTCACTGTAACTTGAAGCTTTAGTTTTGCACATGGGTCTCATAAAGTAACATTGATATATAACATCCCTGCTCCTTGTCAGTTTTTCTCGTGAGGATTGACACCGTTTATTGTTTGTTCGTTTGTTCAAATTTTTTATAGCCCTCCAACTCCAGAATCAAAAAATCTATAGAAACTGATAAAACATAAAACACATATAGCCTGGACTAAAACAACCTCAAAGGCAATATAAATCAAACATCTTAAAATACAATGATACGTACATTAACTCCAGGCCTGGGACCAAAGCCAGATTTTAAGAGCTTTTTGGAACCCTAGGAGAGAGGACACAGTCCGTATCTCTGGGAGAATGCTGTTCGGGGGGGGGGGGGAGGCACAAAAAAGGACATGCTTTCTCAATGTTTAATAAAGAGGACCTGCTGTGTGGGTACATGCAGAGTAAGTGAAAACTATTGGAGAAAAAATGTCCCTCAGCTCTTCAGACCCTATGCAATACGCATATTATTGTATATTGTATATGGGGTGAAGAAGTGGAATTAATGGAGGAATCTAGAATTGTGTTATATTTTCTTAGCTAGTTACTACTAAATAATTGGGTTTTGAGTTTATGTTAGTGATGTCATTTCAGGCAAAATGATTATTAATTGGAAAATTTTAGAAGATTTTAGACATGTGGTTTTCAGACTGTTATATATCTCTTTTGTATCTCAAAGACTTGTAGAGGCCAGAACTATAAATGAATTTTCAACCTTGCCATCATGGAAAATGGCAGCTTATAGTGGCTCTTTGTAGTAAGCATTGGTTTTGCTTACTTATTTCTTTTGTTAAATTCATGCACTACTTCTCTACAGCAATTGAATAATTAAACACTTAATTTAGCAGACCATTGGAGGAGATGAGTATGTATGTGAAACCTAGATGTCCATTAAATCCATAAATGAACCAAGTCTATACTAAAAAATGCAATTTATATGAATAATCCTCAGATACAACTGATTAGTTTGAGGTAATGTTTGGAGGAAATTTTTATCTGTTGAATCCTAAGTCTGCTATAGCAGACTTATTTAAAAGTTTGCTGGTTTGGAATATTATTCAAAACATATGTTTGCCTGGAAATATATGATCGCTTAGAGTTTCCATGTTCCCAAAATACGATTAGCCTGAAAAAAAGTGCCCATTTCTTCCTCAGTGAATGTAAAAGAACTCTGTTATTTAAAGTTATACTATTTGGGGGAAATGTAATTTTGAGAACTTCAACTTTACTAAAGATATGTTAGAAAACATAATATAAATAAGAATAAATATTATAACTATAATAAATATATACTTGATTAATTGCATTAAATATTATGTGTGTGTTTGTGTGTGTGTGTGTGTGTATATATTTGTAAATATTTACTGTTAAATTGATCTATCTATAAGTATCTATCTATCTTGCTTTGTTGTATTTTTTCAATTTTTTTTCCTTTGACAATGGGTGTATTTTTACCATAATGATCATTGAGGTGTTATCCCTTTTTGGGGTCATTATTTCAAAAGTATTAAAATAAAAATAATGTATAAGTTTAATATCTGTACTATAAATAACAATTTGTCAACCAATTAAAATGTACTTCAGCACGTAAGTCACCTTGATACTCTTCCTGATTAACATCTTATGTTTGTTTATTTTTGCTTTTTAATTGAAAGCAAACAATACACAGTGAAAACGAAAACAAAAAAAACAGCATATACATATATGACAATTCCACCTAAGTGTTTCAGCAAATGGTATTGATATTTCATTACAATCATCCACAGCTAATCAGTGTCAATCAGTAATTTGTTCACACATTTGTCAGAACATCAACTTAGCAGACCATTGAGTGGTTGGGGTTTTATGTTTATCCCACCAGCCCATGTTTTCTGATTGCTTATTAAAGACAAACCTGGTTCTAACCTGATGGATGTGTTACCATGCATGTGTATTTATTTAAGAACAGATTCATGGCAACTAAATTTGTATATGTTTGTGTACACATAATTTGGTGTAATGGTTAAGATGATGGCCTAAAAACCAGGAGACTATGAGTTTTAATCTTGCCTTAAGCATGAAAGTCAGCTGGGTGAATTTGAGCCAGTCACACTCTCTTAGCCCAACCCACCTCACAGAGATGTTGTGGGGAAGATGAGAAGGAGGAAGGAGTATTAAATATGTTTGCCACCTTGAGTTACTTATAAAAATACAATAAAAGGCGTGTAAAAATGTAATTAAAAATAGCTATATGTACAAACTTTTTGAGTATATTTGGTATTCTCTTGGTGATAGGAATACAATTAAGTTTGCTTTTTTCCCCTTTGTTGCTAAATACACTTATTTGAGAAAGACCATTTTTAAGGTGACCAACTTTTTTACAATGAAAAGGAGGACACAAATAAATTGAATAAAAAATACCTTAAAAGCTGGCTCGGCCCATGGAAGGTCAACAGCCCGTCGCGCTCCCGCCCGCAGCCACCCCGCCAGCACCGCTGCCCCACCGTGTAGAGTGGGCCCCGCGGCTCCCAAAGCACCAGCCGCGCTGGCTCCGGCCCCGGGGGCAGGCCGCTGTTGACACACCCTGCCTGCAGCCGCCCCGCCAGCACCACCGCCCACCCTGCACAGCCCCATGTAGAGAGGGCCCCGCGGCTGCCACAGCACGGGGGACAGCCGGCCACTGCCGCCCCTCACACTCCCGCCAACAGCACCCCCGCCACCCCTGCCTCTTGCGCCCGCAGCCATTATTGCCCTAGCAGAGCCGAAGATCAAGAGAAACTTACTGCTCCAGTCTCCTCCAGGTATGTTCGGAACTAACTAGGAGATGGTGTAGTTGGGTAGCACGGAGGGGTGCTAAGTTCCTGCCAATTCGCCTTCGCTGCAGACAACTTGCATGTGCAAAGTTTGCCGGCCGGGTGTTTTGGCGCGCTCAGCAGCAATTCCTATTGGCTTTTGAAAGCCAATAGGGGGAGTAGCACAGCTCATGCAAAATTTGAAAAAAAAACATCAAAAAAAGGTGCCGGAACGCCGTTCTGAGCGTTCTATGAGGAAAAAAAAGCCCTGCAGATTAGTCTTCAAATATCAAAAAGGAGGACATGTAGGAGGACACTTTTCGAGGGAGGACAGAACTCACAAAAGGAGGACTGTCCTCCCTAAAGGAGGACGGTTGGTCACCTTACTATTTTGTTATGGAANAAAAAAAAACATCAAAAAAAGGTGCCGGAACGCCGTTCTGAGCGTTCTATGAGGAAAAAAAAGCCCTGCAGATTAGTCTTCAAATATCAAAAAGGAGGACATGTAGGAGGACACTTTTCGAGGGAGGACAGAACTCACAAAAGGAGGACTGTCCTCCCTAAAGGAGGACGGTTGGTCACCTTACTATTTTGTTATGGAAAAGGATTATTAGTTTACCTTGATCAGTTTGTATGCTTCCTTTCTGTTTCATAACAGTGTGCTCCATAATGGAGAGGTAAGCAATTTGATAAAACTTAAATCTTTCTGTATTATTTTCCTGCTGCTTCCTGCAGAAGCTTTTCCGGGCTTCTGCAAAGTTAAAATTATCTTTTGATAATGTTACATTTTGCTGTAATTCCAGAAATGACATTACCAACAGGAGTTTCAGACTTTTTGCTGGATTGTTTGGATATGGAGACTACTCCGGACTGTAGTTATACCAAGAGTATTGATTCTACAAGTAGTTATTCATCACCTGAAAAATTTAGGGATGAAACTGGCTTAGGTATACATTTTTAAAATTATTTGTGAGAATAAATTAAAAGAGATGCACGTACCTTTTATGTTTTATATATGTACATGTATTTATGTTTTTTTCTTTGAATTAGAAGGCAGACCATTAGTACATTGTATTTCAATATATTAGGGAAGAAAGCAGATTAAATAGTCTTCTGCCCAATCCTTTTTAATTTGCTAATGTATGCATATTCCTTCAATCAACTCATGAATTCAAAATCACCCTTATTTTTTTAACTTTTGATTTGACAATTCGTGATCCAAGTTTCCTAAACCCAGAGATAAATCAGTTCCATTATGCATTAAGCAAAACATTTGCTTCTGATTATACTCTCATTATCAACCTATTTGTTCGCTCCCCTGAAATATATGGAAAATGTTCTGAAGACATTATAAAAAGGCATTATTAACATTATAGATCTTTCTGAATTTTAATAATAGTACCATTAACTGTATTGTCTTCTGTCTTCAGAAGACACTGCTAGTCCTGAAACATACCTTGCGTGCAAAAATTCAACTCTCTTGGATACCAGCAAAGCCATCAACATAGACAAGATGCCGCAACTGCCAAACCTTTCTAAAATACTCGGTAACTTTCAGAATATTTAATTTAACTTTGCCATTGAAGTTCTATAGAAAAACAGAACAATATATTCAGCAGCTGACTTAGGAATATGGGTAGGAATATGATATGGATGAACTTGTGTCAGGAAAAAAAGAAACCGGGGGAGAAAAGTAATGGACAGAACAAACAACATGTGCCAGTTTCCAGTGGAAATTACCTCATCACTGAAGGCCAAACACTTCTCAAAACTTAATTTGGCTTAGAAATCTCGTTGGGGATAGTTCTGCATGTCCTCTGGTCTCATCCACAAAGCATCATTTTCTGCTCTTCATTGCAGGAAGCAGCTTAAAGTATATTGGCTTAATAAAATGCTGGTTGTATTTCATATTTTGCCTCAGCAAAATAAGAATTATATCTGAATATGAAAAGGGGAGAGGAAAGATGTAGGGTGGGAAAACACTTCCTTTGTTGCAATTAGAAGATCTGAGGGCCTTTTGTTGTCAGTTCCCCATTTTATGGAGTAATTCTATGGGCTGGAGAACTGACACAAAGGGACCCATTATCTTCTTCCTCTTTTACTTTTTGTCATGCATTGCAAGAGAGATATGGGGAGATAAGAGGCTTGCTCTAGTTTTATAGTTCCGGCCTCAGTCACCTGAGCTAGAAGAGGCATCTGGGGGACATTTTGTCAATTTCACCTCAAACTGGGAAGTGCTACAAGGGACTGCTGGCAGCAAGTGACTATGGTATCCAGAGGTACTCCATGGAAAAGGGGAAATGTCATTAGACAGGGCAAAAATGGCACCATCTCTGATGTTTATGTGAGATATTCTTCTTTAGGAGGACAAGTAGGGCCAGCAGGTAAAAGCAGCAATCACAATACCCATTCAAATCAGCTGAAGTTCTTGAAATGTTCAACAGTACATTGGTGTCTGATCCATAAATAAGAGGAACTTGTATATATTAGTGTTTTAAAGCACATAAATGGTCTCCCAAAAGCCTAAGACATACCTTGCAAAACAGATTGTGGTTAGGTTTTCTGTAAGAGAAGACAGCCCAGCAGACCAAGAGCAGCGGAGGGCAGGGGCAGTGCCCAGAACAGTGTGTTAGCAAACTAAACATTGCCTTCAAGGAAATGAAATGTCACAGACAGACTACAAAGCACCACTCCCACTTTTGACATAGAGCAAAAAAAGTCAGGCAGAGATCACTTCAGGATGGGTCAAAGACTTGTATTCCTTTCTTACATGTTTATTTCTTCAATTTTTATGGGTGCCCCCTTGCCAAGCAACTTTATGTAGCTAACTTAAAATTAAAAACATCAAAATTCAAATTAGAACCCTTAAAAACATGCTGGACACAAACATATATTATACATCATGTTCATGAGTTCACATACCATCCTGCCCCACTGCTTGGGACAACAGCCAAGTCTTCAAGGCCTTCATCAAGGCAGACAAAGTCAAGCAACAAGTGGTTAATAGGGTATCTTTATATGGGGGCAAGCAAAATATAGATGAGCCCTATGACATAGGCAATTAGAAATACTGTGCTATCTTCTGCTTCTTATATTCAGCTAAGTTAAATCTCTTCCAGGTACTCCTTTAGGAATCCAAGGCCAGAACATTGCCAGGTAAAAGAGAATTCTCTTTAAATTTGATAATTTGTTTGCCTTATATTAGTAGTGTTCACAAAGCTGCTGGTGCAAAACAGTTTGTAAGAGTAAAGATGCCAACAATTTTATTGGACTCCAAATGTATTCTCTTATAAATCAAAACCACAACAGAAGAGTAATTTAAACTGCCATTATAAACAGGTGACTAGTGCTGTCATTGTGGGAATCATCTATTTTACAATATACAGTAGTACAAAATTAAATAGGCAGTTGAGAATGATCATAATCAGTAATCGTAAAAGATATAAACTTCTGTAACACGTGTTATTATTTTTATTTATATGATTAAGGTTTAAGTCTCCCTTGCCGGAGCAGTACACTTGAGTGCCGGATGCCAATTTCCATTTATATTTCACTCTACAGTTAGGAAATCAACAAAAGCCTTGGACGTGGCTATTTTACTTAGACAATGTCCCCCCACGTTCAGTCTCCAAGGACCATTTTATTCGGAGAATGCTTCATAGAAGTTTTAGAATTACTGGCATTTGTGCTTGGGAGAAATCTCCAAGAATTGTGGAAATCTTGCTGAGAACTGTAGTTCTGATGATCCCTTTAGAAATTACATTTTCTACAGCGTATCTGTAAAAGTAAATGTTTCCCTTGTCCAGTTGTTCCTGACTCTAGGGGGCAATAACGGGGAGCTTATCCTGTTGCATAGTGCTGGGTCTCGAAGCTGGGCTGTCACCTTTCCAACTGAAAAACTCAGTGTCTTTAACTCCTGAGCCATCACACATCTATAGTGAGAGGTTCATATTAAAGCAAAATTAACTGTATGAATCGTTTTGGCTGATTAGCTGATACATAATATGTAGTATCCCCCCTCCCCAGAGGTCAGATTGCCCCCCCCATCCTCCTGACTTTTTGTAAGAGCCTTAATGTCTGGTTCTGCCAGATGGCTTGGGGTCCCTGGGGGGGGGGGGAGTTTCACACTGGAGGTGTTTGACTAATTAAAAGCTAACTCCACCTGCCCCCCCCCAAGTGTATTTGGCTCTCTCCTTTTCCATCTTGTGTTAATGATTTTATTTTGTCATTTTATATTTGATGGTTTTAATGTTTTTTTAAAAAATGTTTATTATGTATATTATTGCATACAAGTATAGTCCTTAATTTATGACCATAAATGAGCCCAAAATTTCTATTGCTAAGCAAGGCAGTTGTTAAGGAAGTTTTGGCCCATTTTCTGACCTTTTTTTGCCATAGTAAGTAAGTGAATCACTGCATTTTCTGACCCTTTTTTGCCATACTAGGTAAGTGAATCACTGTAGTTCTTAAGTGAATCGTGCAGTCATTAAGCAACTCTAGCTTCCCCGTTGACTTTCCTTGTCTGAAGCCAGCTGGGAAGGTTACAGGTGGTGATCACACGACCTAGGACAGTGCAACTGTCACAAATATATGCCAATTCCCAAGTGCCTGAATTTTGATCATGTGACCATGGGAATGCCACAACAATCATAAGTGTGAAAAACAGTCATAAGTTAGTTTTATCAGTGCCGTTGTAACTTCGAATTGTTGTAAGTTGAGGACTACTTGTTCAGTGCTTTCTGGTTATTTTTTTCCCCATGTCTAAGAACATTGGACTACAAGCGTACACCACAGTTCTTGATCTGCAGCCGTCCTTCGGTATCCAATTGATTGTAATCTTTGCTGGACTTTGCTCACTTGGGGAGCATGTGTCCAGCAAAGCAATTTCTTTGTTCTGTCACTATCTCAGAAAGTCTTCGGGAATTACTTCTTTGTAGAATTTCCTTGTTTGTGACATGGTCCTTTATACCAGCGGTTCTCAACCTATGGGTCGCGATCCCATTTGGGGTTGATCGACCATTTCACGGGGGTCGCCAAGCAAGGCTGTCCGCCATTTTTTTCCCCCATTTCCGGCGGGTGCCTTACCTCCCTTGAGCTGGGCCAGCTGGTGGTCGGCCTGCTCCGTCTCTGCCGTTTGCCAGCTACGCCTCGGCCGGCGCAGGGGGCAGAACCACGCATGCGCGGCACTCCCGGGCAGGGAAAGTCCTTGACATACGACCGGTTGGGTAGTCCTCGACTTACGACCGGTTTAGTCCTTGACTTACGACTGGTTTAGTCCTCGACGTACGGCCGGTTTAGTCCTCGACTTACGACCGGTTGGGGGTCGCGGCATTAAAAAGGTTGAGAACCACTGCTTTATATGATACGAAGAATCTTTCTGATGCAATGTTGTTGGAAGATATTAATCTTATGAACAATTTTTGTTGTGGCTTTTCAGATTTCATTGGCATAGATGGCGTTTGGTATGACAATGGCATTAAATAAGCTGATCGTGGTTGCTGTGTTTATGGCGGACATGGTCCATACTGAGGGCATTTGTTGGAAGATAGCAGCTGCTTTGCCTGTTCCCCCATCTGTGTCCATGATGCTACCAGGATAGTTGAATTGTTCCACAAATTTTAAGGCCTGTCCTTCTAATGTTATCAAGATGTTGTCTTGAACACAACTTGGTTAATTAGGGAAAGAAACATGTTTCATCTTAATACATGGAGATTTTTATGTGCAATGCTAGTTATAGTTTTTTTCATAATGTTGAATATATATTAATACCACAGTCTTTTGCCTGCAGAAAACAATCCAGGCAGAAACTGACTTCTGAACCCACAAATACTTCAGCCATGGTAGCAGGTAAAAAAAAAAAGTTTTTTTACTATATGTAAGATACCTAGTAGATTTTTTTTCTCTCTCTTACTGTGGTAGGATTATGTCAACATCCTATTTATAGTGGTTCCTTTAAATACTCTCTAATCATATGTTATAAAACCCTTACTACAGCTGGATTGCAATCTTGGCACTGAAAATATCGTAACTAAAATAGTTCCCTTCTCATCCTTTGCATTGCTTTGCTGTCATTCATGGAATTTGTTTACATGCCCTATAATAATTTGGTATCATGTTTTCTCACAAGACTGATCAGGGATTTAGAAATGTATGTCTCGACTTAACTATCAGTAATTTTGGCTTGTTTGGGAGCCTAGAGGTACTACCCTATCTAAAGATGTGAACATTTTAAAATAGTTGTAATATATAGTTGAGGTTATAATCCTGCGTGTGTGTGTGAACTCAAGGCAGTGAATATACCTAACAGAAAAAGAGTGATTGGTCTAAAATCATCCAGCCGGCTTTCCTGCCTAAGGGATGCCTAGAACTCTTGTCTCCTGGCTTTTAGTTTGCTACAGCAAACTGGTCTTCTAGCAGCTGTTACAATTTGTTATGGAAGTTGTACCTTTTTGTGGAATTGCATGGCTGTTTTCTGAAGAACATTTGACTCTGAAGCTATAAAAATCAGCTGCAGTCAATTTAGTGAATGTTCATCCCAGATTTTCAGGGATATCTTACTAGGGAGAACTATTCAAAGCAACCTTCTATGATGTATTCAGGCTTGGCTGATCTTTGATCATAATAAAGTGAACTGATTCTCAACTAATTTGTTGAGAATGCTTTCCATTCTCTTTGAAGGGTCATGCTTCAAATAAATAGAAAGTGGCCTGTCCATCCATCATCTATCTATCTATCTATCTATCTATCTATCTATCTATCTATCTATCTATCTATCTATCTATCTATCTATCTATCTATCTATCTATCTATCTATCNCCTTGATCCTATGTCAGTAAAGCAGTAAAAATATGCATGTGTAAATGTGCATTCATAAGCAAGCTCCAGATCATACCAAATAATGTCCTCACACCAGAGGAGAATGTGCTGAAATGACATGGTACAGAACAGGGGTCTTCAAACTTGGCCCTTTTATGACTTGTGGACTTCAACTCCTGCCTGGCTGAGGAATTCTGGGAGTTGAAGTCCACAAGTCATAAAAGGGTCAAGTTTGAAGACCCCTGGTACAGAATATCATGGGGCCAAACACTTCCTCTAACACTATTAAGCACCTGTTTCCAAGCCAATCACAGAGGAATCTGGGAAGAAAGGAATTAAGAACTGAGGGTGTGCATTCTATTATAAAACATTCACACAAAAATTAGACCCGGATTGTGCAAAGGCGGGTGAGCAGAATCTTTAGCAAAGAGGGGAAAAAATCCTTACAAGAGCTATGTTAGTTAGATTAAGGAAATCTAACTAACTCAAGATGGAGGAGAGTTACTCCCTTCCTCCCATCATTTACGTGATTGGGAAAGAAAGAACCCTATTAGAGGGGTGATCTGGAGAGCATTTTGGGAGAAGTAAGAAAAGGTGGAGGCAGGGAAATCAAGTGAACGAGGGAAGTCTGATTCTTCTCTGATTGAGAGAGGATTGCTGACTGAGAGAGGATTGCTGTAGTGAGGAGCATTGGGCCCAGAAAATATAAAAATGAGCATCCCTACCTCTGTTGGAAGCCAGTGCAGCTTTGTAAGCGATTCCTGTACTGGTTTTAACTCAATGCATGAAGTCCAGCCTTTAAGGCGTATCTTGCTACACTGCCTCAGTTTCCAAGCCAGTATCCAAAGGACTAAAGAGGGTCTGCAACACTTTGATTGGCTGCTAGTGGGGAAAAATGGTGGCAAGCTGCAAAATCATAGCTATTTCTGGCTGCAGGCTGCACCCCAATTTTTTTGGTTGCTATGGTAACAGTTGTGAGTACCTGATTCATTCTAAAGTAATTGGTACCCTTGGCTACATACATCCAAGTGCAAAAGCTCATTCCCTCTCTAGAGAGATTTTGAATAAAGTGGGTAAGCTATATATATAGTGTGAAGATATAATTATATGTTCTGAAATTGGGAATAAGCACATGATGCTGTTGATTTGAGTCACAAACCTATGGCTGGCAAAAATAGGGCCAGTTCTTTCAGATGATTTGAAACATCATGTATTTTTTCAGGGAAACAGGTGTACAAAATTTTGCCTGCAAATGAAAAAAGACTTAAATCACAGCCTTCTGGAGTTTCATTATTGCTTCCAGAAGAAAAAAACAAGGTAATAGTTTTTAATACTCTTAGGTTATCATGTATAAATTGAGCAATGTGTGATTTCCTTTATTTCTGTGCACAGTTTCTTGTGTATTTAACCTCTCTACCACAACCCACTGTTTTTATAGTCTAAGGAGAATATCTTTACTCCTTAACAGTGAATGACGATTGTGAGAATTTCAACTGAAGTGTTAAATTATTCGTTGCCAGGCTGTTATAAAAACCATAACAAAACACCCCTTCCAGACAAAGTAGTAACACATCTATATTAATTGATAGAATTGGACATGAATTGGACATGATTCCCACTTGACAATTGTAAACGAATACTAAAGCACTGCATCCTTTTTGGGAATATCAAGCTGGTATGAATGATTGAAAGGGGATTATAATTGGGGCCTGTAATGGATAAAAAAGATAAACTTCCCTTGAGCTGAGCTCAACTCCTAGCAACTACTGGTACATGCATATGTCCATGTAGCTTTCTTGGCAAGTTAAACTGAAGTGATTTGCTATTATCTCCTGAGAATTTTTACAGATTTCCCAATCTGGTCTACAATCTTAGGATTTCCTGATAGACCCTCATTGAAGTCATAACCAAATGTAACCCTGCTTAGCTTTTTCAAGATTAGCCAAGCCTAATTAAATGTTTTAATTAGGAAGGGAGGAAATCCTTTATACATCAGGCATGTCAAACTGCCGGCCTGTGGGCCAGATGCGTCATGCCGGCAATGAGGAAAAAGTCCCGATACGTTGCACGACGTCACATGACATCGCTAGTTTGACGTGCCTGGTCTACATCCTTCTCTTCTTTCATGGACTTATAGGATCTTAAGGAACTGAAGTCACCAAAAATCCCAAAATATAGAGCACAACATTAAGGAGGGGGGGAAAACCCATGTGTTTTTCCACCAGTTGTTGGCGCCCAACTTTCCCTACCAGATAGAGAGATCCTGAACAAAGGAAAATATTTCTATAGCGGATGCAGATTGCAAAGTGGGAAATCCTAGGGATCTTATTTGCCAGCCAGTTTGGGGAACCTAGGCAGGTCAGTGTTACTGGAGTTAGTTCTAGTGTTAGGCAAAAGGGGCCTTTCAGGGGGACAGAGAAAAATCCATGGGTAAAGGGGGAAGGAATATTGAAGTCATCAAGCTGATTGAAGCCATGGAGTTTTCTTGACCTTGAGCGGGACTACGAGCCAGTGACTATGCTTTTATTCTTTGGTTTAGACAGGATTGCAGGGGGCTTTGTTTAGGGGCAGGGAGGGTCAGTTTGGGTCTGATATAGGAGGAGGCAATGAGAGGCTGTGGGCTTGATTCCTGTCATGTTCAGAAAACGGAGGAAAAAGGATGCAGTCTCTGTTTTCATTGCTAGATCCAAAAACATCTGTTCTTTAGAATAGTGGGAAAATGAATGTAACCTCCTCCGTATAATTTGTTATGTTTTTAAAAAAAGATCAAAAATGAATAATGCTTCATTAGGTTGTTTTAAATGTGAGTTCGTTTTTCGCCAGTCTTGATTTTATACTGATGCATCTTTCCTTTTCTTAACTTTAGATTGAGCATCAGCAACCTGTCAAAAGGAAATGTAGAAAAAAAATAACATTCAAAGATGTAAGTTCTCTATCCTCTCCTCGTGTATCGCCTTCATCTGGAAAAAACAGCTCCAAGGAAATGTGTGGGATCGTAGCATCCAAATTATCAGAGGCTGACATGGTATGTAACTACTGCCTGAGACTGAAGGCCATGGGGTAGGTGGAGTGTATGAATAAAAGGAAAAAAGAAGATATATAAACCATATTGAACCTTGCACTTAGAAATACTGACATAATAGCAGAAAACCACCGGCAGCTATGAGTTACTTGGCATCTTGACACTGAGAATGACTTTATCCACTTATTACAGGAAAAAGAACCAATGGGAAGAGCACCCTCATAATCAATCAAGGCTTACTTATTCAACACTGGATACAAAGGTCAAGGGCCTTCTACCATTTGTGAATGCAAGCTTGCTCATTTGACTTTTCCATGGTTCCTCCTTTTGCGCAAATGTAGATATTAAATTCATCTTATCAAAAACTAACTCTTTTTCATATGAGTAGATGAATCTGGAAATGTTTGATCAATGGGTTCCTGCTTATAGAATAATCACATATTTTCTATTGAACTAATACTCTATATAGGGCACTTAACCTACAATAGGTTTCTAACTTTGAACATTTGAGTTTAAAGGCAAGGTATTAATTGAATGCATAAACATATTTATTTCTTTGCTACTAAATGAGGTTTTGTTTTTATTGTGTGCTTATTTTACAAATCTTAAACTACCTGGAAATGTTATGTTAAAAGTATCTTAATGGCACCAGACATTCTGGCTAAAATAACTAATATTTTCATCATATAGGTAACAGTATAAATGTTTGTTTGAAGTGTGCCACTTAGTAATGTTTTCAGAAAAAAATGTCTTTTTTTAATGAGCCAATTTGCTCAACTGCAAAAACATTAATATCCTTTGAACATTGTTATTTCTGGAAACAAGTATCCTTACTTGCTTGGCAGTTTTGGCTTGAAAAATAAACATTGATGTAAAAGGAATATCCACCAGAGTTTCCAATTTAAATGACTTTTAACAGAAACTCCAGCAAAAGTGAATAAAGGATTACTTTCTGTACATTTTGAATTATCAGTAGCTGAGATGCACATTAAGACTGAAAGTTATATCCAGACATTTTTGTATTAAACATTTTTCCAGTTCAAAAAAGTATCATGTAATTATCTACTTGAACAACAACTACTTTGTTGATCTTGAGCCATAATGGTGTCTATGAAAAGCCAGTTTTTTTTATAAGCCAGCAGTATTTTGACAAAGGGAAAGCTGTTTTATCTTGTCCACTCCAGACAAATTATACTTGTAGACTGAAGGTCATGAAATATTGTCCTTGAGAAACATACCCTCTGATTAACAATAACCCCTTGCATTTTTATTTTGCTTCGGTACAGTTAGACGTATTGTCCACACATGAAGCCTCTGTCAGGGACAGCTGTTTGGCACACACAAAGAGTCCAAATGTGAATTCAGAAGCAATTGTTCCCCTTTCTCCCCAAAGGACCATTTATCAGGTTATATGTTTATTTACTTTTTCTGTAAATTTAATGTTCAAAATACCATCCCATGTTGTACGAATAATGTCCTTCTATTTCATTCAGCATTTACACAATCCACCAGAAATCTGCTGTATTATTCAAGCTTCACCAGGATTTAGACCACTGAAAGTACTCCAACATCCAACAAATAGAAAAAAAGGCTTTATCCCACCAGAGGCAACTGAAGGTAAAAGGAAAAGAAAGAAAATATTATGATGAGCTATCTTAAATAGGTAAACATGCTTTCAGATTCTGCGTGCAGAAGATAGTTTGAGATAGTTTCGGATAAAAGCTTCAGAACAAATTCCAGACTTGGAGTGAATCTACAATACAAATTGCTTGGAAAATGAATTGAAAAAAATGTGAGATTAGCTCCTGAGTTCAGATTATTTCTTGGCTATAAATCCACAGAGTAATTTGTGGGCAAATCATTTCTAACACAAAAAGCTATTTAGTTAGTTCTATTTTTACCTTTAAAAGTTAGTCTAATTGATTAATTAATCAGTCTAACATAATCAGCAAAGGTAAAATTGGTGATATTGAGCATAAAAGTACCTTTTTGTCTAGAAATAATTATAAGAAAATATATGGGAGATTGTTACTATCAAAGGATGGCAGTTGTCTGTTACCAAAAAGTATATTATAAGAACTGCTTTTTCTGCTTTATGCTATCCAAATTTCTTGTTCTACCAGGCACTGCATTTTTTTAGACTTATTTCCATTTACAGTTCTGACTTTTCTACAGTTGTAGTGCTGTTCTCAAGTTCAACAATATAGTACTGATGTATTTTCTCCAAAAGGTGAAACAGAGAGTTTATTCCAATACAAAATTATTTATATTCCAGATATTATTACAAGCTTAGAAACCTGGACCTGTGGTAATGGTAGATGAACATTTCAGTTGTTCCCTCACCAAAGCAGGGAAGAAACTAAGTAGAGAACCTGTTGGATCCTGCTGCAGTATCTACTATAATCAGCAGGTATAATTAGCAAAATTCATGGGCATTAAATTTTATTGGAATAAATTAAAAAAGGGGAAATGGGAAATTGAGAAAATGGAAGATGCACATAATTAAAGTAAATACCTGGCTTTTGTAAATTTGAAACCTGATGATAATTTAAAAAAAAATGGGGGAAAATATACTTTAGGATACATGTATTTTGATAAGTAAAAATATTGTTCATTGACTGTAAAGTCGTAAGTTTAGTGTTCATGTTTTGAATTACATTTTTGAAACTATTTTATATATCTTTGTATGATATATATATATATAGTAATCCTTGATATATCTTATTCAAAGGTATTAGCCTAAATTCAGCTAAACTGAAATATTTGTATTTAAGCTAATTCAGAATGATTGCTTCTACCTTTTGTTTCAGCTATACTGAATGTAAATTAAAATGTGAAGCTCTAATACTTTTGTCCTATTGAATATGTAAAAAAATAAATTATTTTTGTTAGCACTGTTCTTTTTAACAGAGTTACTTCTTTTCCTCAACTGGTTTCAAGACAAAATGTTAATCTTCATTGCTACACTTTAAAGAGACTCTTCTTTCTGCGTATTACTTTTGATAAAGAAGCTTCCATGGTACTGTTCTCCTTACATGTTTATCAAAGTTTATTCACCCCAATTTTCTGGCCTAACACAACACACTGAATTATAAAATATAAACAAATCAAGTTGAGTTTGCAGAATAGAGTAAGCTAAAACGTATTTTGCTTCTTGGTGACTCAGTGTGCTGGGCAAATCTAGTCTATGTTCTGCTTTACTCATCCTCCTCCCTCTACATTAAAGACTGTTCTTAAAATTTTGTCAATGACATAATGTTTAGTGTACCTTTTGATTTGTAAAGTATCTAATATACTTACAAAAACTGAAGGGTGGTTGGTGGCTGGAAGAAGCTTCAAGTTGCTGTGAGGAGGAGATCAGAAGCAGCAGTTGCCTTTTGTAAACTAACCAATGTTCCGTATTATGCCTGATTTGATTTTGTACAACCTTTTTGGAGAACAATTTTACTGGCTATTCCGTGAAAAAGTAACCAAGACAAAGTAAATCTTTGCTGGCTCTTGTTGCCTTTGTCATATGGTTATACCAGTGGAAAGAGAAGCTTAATATTCACTTCTGATTTCCCTTGATGTTATTTTCCAAAACATCGAATGTGGTCAAGGTCAATTTATAATGAAGATTCTCCTCTGATGGATGTCTTCAGTTGTGTTGACATAAGCACAGCAACATATCCAGCAAGCTTCTGATTCCAGTCAAGAATAATCTGTACAATGTAGTCCTTCATGGTGTCAGTTCAAATTTTCATCTTACATAACACAAAATTGCTAATGAGAGAGATTGTTCCTATCAAAAGCCCTTGCTTTATAGAACAATAAAAGGCAGCTATTCAGTTTAATTTGACTGAAAATTAGATGGAAACAATATCATTTATTCTACAGATACATGCTATTAAACATAGGATTGACTGACGTATGTTTAGTCACTACTTGATGGTTTGCATATCAAGTAAAAACTTAGAAGTATGACTGAAACTTGAATTGTAGACATTTGCTGGAGGTTACATTTTGCTTGCAATCTACGATCATGGTCCTTATCATTTCACCTATTTAATTGTGACTCACCTAATGTTAAGAGAGTATATAATGTACTATGTGGGAATGCCATGGACTCTGGCATTGGAGTCCAGTCTTGTGCATTTGTTTTCATGCATGAGTTTATATTCTATTTCCCATTCTGTATTTCAGTTTTACTTTCCAGGTAACTTTGAGATTCTTGGTGCTCTCTGAGCTTGGTTTTTTTGCACACATTTCATTACCAAACTAAGTAACAGCATCAATGCTAGTAGGGACTAGGATTTACTCTCATTTTATATACTACTGGTTTGCTCCATCAGGTAGGAGGAGAAGAAGAAAATTCACAACAGTAAAAAAACAACAACAAAGTATAATATAAAAACAGAGAAAATATATAAGATGTTAAAAAAGCATATTAAAACCATAAAACAATAAAAAATCAGGTTACCAAAACTTGAATAAAATTCAATACAACCATTGAAGAAGCTCTATTATACCATTGGATTGCCAAGTCTGGTGGCAAAGTCACATATTAAGGACCTCGCAAAAGACCAATAGGGCTGAGGGCAATCTAATCCAGGCTTTATAGAAATTTCACACAATTGAAACTGAACAAACTATAAATTCTGTTTTGTCCCTAACTTGGAAAAAAATTCATTTTGTTTGCATATAAGTGTCATTAAGGGTAGATATTCCTTGTTACAGAGCAGAGAAGATGGGTCTTAATTTCTTTGAATTCCTGCTTAGAATTAGAGTATTCTAAACTATTTTTCAGGCTTGGAGCAGTACACAAAAGGAGGCTTCAATCACTGACACAAAAAGAAATGTCTGTTTATATTGACTGAGTCATTGATTTTGTATCTTACCTTTATTGTTTTTTATAAACAACTCAAGGTGGTGAACATATCTAATACTACTCCTATTTTCCCACAATAATCCTAAGAGGTGAGTTGGGCTGAGAGTGTGTGACTGGCCCAATATCACCCAGCTGGCTTTCATGGGTAAGGGTGGACTTAAACTCCTACTCTCCCAGTTTCTAGCCTGGTGCCTTAAACACTAAACCAAACTGGTTCCCCTCTATAAATTGGAGTGGGGCAGAAAAAGCATTATATTCAGAGACTGTTATGTCTACTNAATCCTAAGAGGTGAGTTGGGCTGAGAGTGTGTGACTGGCCCAATATCACCCAGCTGGCTTTCATGGGTAAGGGTGGACTTAAACTCCTACTCTCCCAGTTTCTAGCCTGGTGCCTTAAACACTAAACCAAACTGGTTCCCCTCTATAAATTGGAGTGGGGCAGAAAAAGCATTATATTCAGAGACTGTTATGTCTACTACCAAGTCTTTACTCTGTGCCATACAATTTTGATATTCATAGCACCATGTTTCACAGGAGTAAGAAATAGAAAAAAGATTGAAGAAGTTCTTCTGTTTTACTTTTGACTGGCCTCATCACTTCTCATCAGCACTCAAGTCCCTTTGCACAAATTCTATTTGTGTGAAATTTGTGGTTCTTCTCCCCTTGTTACAACTGCAAAGTTCATCACATTCTGGTTTCAAAACAATGAAGTTGCAAGCCATTTTAATATTTTTTTTTTAAAAAAATCAAATATAACCTGAAAAACTATCAATTTCTATCATATTTAACATGTTTCATCTCTACAATTTAAGTTTAGACTTGACTGCTAACTGACTAATCAGTGCATAACCTTAAAATGGCCCATTTTCAATCTTGCATTAGTATATAAGCAGATCAAAAGATTCATTTAAGCAGTTTAAAAGATTCTATAAATTTTAACGATTCATTAAAACTTTAAATAAAACTTTATATAAAAGCTCAAATATAATAGAGAAAAATATGAAAGTTGTATATACTTGCTTTTTTAGCATTACAAAATGATACATGATGTTCAAAGAGAAAATGTGTAGGTAAGGCACCAAATCCTTAGTCAGTTTTTCCTTCCCAACTCAATAGAATGTTTTACCATTTTTTTTCTCCGTCACTTTTTAACGTGTTCCCAAAAAAATGAATATGATATTTATTCGGACTTCTAACAGAACAAAAGGAAGAACTATGTAGGCCTGTGGGCTTTGTTGAGAATCACGTAGAATGACCATTTCCTTGGCCCTCAAAATATGGGAGTGCTAATTTGGTATAGTGGCTAAGGCACCATCCTAGAAATTGGGAGGCCATGAATTCTACTCCTGCTTTAGGCCCAAAACCAACTAGGTGACCTTGGGCCAATCATTCTTAGCCCCAAGAAGGAGACAAAGGTAAACCATGTCCGAAAAATCTGGCCAAGAAAATTTCAGGGACTTATTCAGGTAGTCACCAGGAATCAATGACTCAAGCACACACCCAAAATGAATGAAAATACTGGATTAAAGCATTTGGCTTTTTGATCCCCTGACACTGCATTTAAGACACATCTCAGCTGCCACCTTCAGTCTATAGAACAGTGGTGGTGAACCTGTGGCACGCGTGCCAGAGGCGGCACTCGGAGCCCTCTCTGTGGGCACGCGTGCCATGCCCCGGAGATGGCAACCGTCCTCTTCAACCAGCTGCCCGCTAACTCGCTGAGGTCCCATGTGACCGGATGCATCCCAGCATCCATGCGCTTGCTGGCCTCTGTGTGCGGGGGCCAATGGTGTCAGGCAGCAACCACCCCAGCCCTGCCTGCCTTGCCCTGCGACATGGCACCTCCACCCTGCCTTGCCTTGCCTTGCCTCACCCCACAGAACCAGCCTCCTGCCCACACCCCACCCACCAGAGACCCCTGGATCTCCCCCAACCCTGCCCGGCCCCCACAGGTGTCCCTCCCCACAAGCAACATCGGGATGGCCACGCCCACCCATCTGCCATGACCACTGTAGCCACGCCCACCCAGCGGGCCATGCCCACCCGGCACCCGGCAATATATAAGTGGGTTTTGGGTTGAAGTTTGGGCATTTGGTCTCTAAAAGGTTCGCCATCACTGCTATAGAATATATTTTCCCTTATTTTGACAATTGAACATAGCATAGTTTCTCACATATATTAACTTCTATGCTTGGAAAAACATCCTAATCATAAAACCAACCTTAACGTCCAAACTGGTACTAAAATCTTCCAGTCTTTTTCATCACCAAATCAGTAGATTTGGGTCCCTCAAGATAAGGATGGCGAGCAGTCATGGCTCTTCAGGCAGTAATTTTTTGGAGAAGGTGATAGACTTAAAATCTTGGCAAACAGTTTTGAGCACCTCTAAAACCACTCTCCCCACCCACATCTGGCTTCTTGGACTTGGAGCAACAGTGACAAAATATCCTCTTTG